ATGAAAACACAATTTCCATAAAATGTATGTAAAAAAATGTTATTTGACCATATATTATTCGAAAAATCATTATTTGTTTATAATTTAAACATAATTTTATTTGATATAATATTAAATATTCGTAAGTTGTATTGTAAACATAAACAAGCATTAACTTAACGTACAAATTATGTTCAAATAACATGTTTAAACATGCAATCATTACATAATAAGGTCAATTTCGTATAGTAAATTCCTATTGTAAAATTTATGACTTTTATTATTTCTTTTTATATTGTCATTTTTTGACAGGTTTGCTTGATTATTATCTTTTCCAACATTTGTCTTTTTACATGATGATCTACGAAGTACAAAAATTTCGGTCATATGACTTTGGCTTCGAAGTATAGGCAATGATTATCACGTGTATATGTGATAATCTTTTTTAAACTTTTTTTTATTTAATTGATACGGGTTTTAGATAAAGTTTCATTTCGGCTTCTAAACTTTAAAAAAATGTTTTTAAAGCTTTCGCTTTGAAACTTCTATATTAAAAAAGAAATATTTTTTATTTTTTATTTTTTTTTCCTTTTATTTGTTTCAGCTTCAGTTCTTGGTGTTAGATAGGTGAGTTCCGAATAACACTTAATTGGAAACTTTGTAATTTTTTTTAAAAAAAAATAATTTTAGTTTTTTTTCTATTTCGTAAGTCGTAAGTTTCGGCTTTGGTTCTTAGACTTTGGATAGGTGAGTTTCGAAGATTTTGCTCAAAACTTTTTTATTAAAAAAAAAGTTATTTTTTTTTCTTTTTTTATTTTGTAGGTTTTAGCAGTTCTTGGGTGTTGGATAGGTGAGTTTCATTTCGAATAACACTTCGAAACATTTTTTTTTTTAAAAAAAATAATTTAATTAATTAATTTTTTTTTCTATTTTGTAGGTTTCATCTCTGGTTCTTGGACATTGGATAGGTGAGTTTCGTTTTGAATAACACTCAAAATTATTTTTTTTAAAAAAAATAATTTAATTAATCTTTTTTTCTATTTTTGTAGGTTTGGCTCCAGTTTTTGGTGTTAGATAGGTGAGTTTCGAATGATTTTTTTTTTATTTTGTAGGGTTTCGCTTCGGTTCTTTGGTATTGGATAGGTGAATTTCATTTCGAACAACACTTTGAAACTTTATTTTTTTTTTAAAAAAAAATAATTTAATTTATCAATTTTTTTCTATTTTGTAGGTTTTAGCTCTGGTTCTTGGGCATTGGATAGGTGAGTTTTGTTTCAAATAACACTTCGAAACTATTTTTTTTTTAAAAAAAATAATTTAATTAATTAATCTTTTTTTCTTTTTTTCTATTTTGTAGGTTTTGACTCCAGTTCTTGGTGTTAGATAGGTGAGTTTCGAATAACACTTTGAAACTTTATTATTTTTAAAAAAAAAAATTTAATAAATTTTTTTTTTTCTATTTTGTAGATTTTGCTTCAGTTCTTGGGTGTTGGATAGGTGAGTTTCGTTTTGAACAACACTTNTTTTGTAGGTTTTAGCTCTGGTTCTTGGGCATTGGATAGGTGAGTTTCGTTTCAAATAACACTTCGAAACTATTTTTTTTTTAAAAAAAATAATTTAATTAATTAATCTTTTTTTCTTTTTTTCTATTTTGTAGGTTTTGACTCCAGTTCTTGGTGTTAGATAGGTGAGTTTCGAATAACACTTTGAAACTTTATTATTTTTAAAAAAAAAAATTTAATAAATTTTTTTTTTTCTATTTTGTAGATTTTGCTTCAGTTCTTGGGTGTTGGATAGGTGAGTTTCGTTTTGAACAACACTTCGAAACTATTTTTTTTAAAAAAAATTTAATTTATTAATTTTTTTATGGACAGGTTGAATATCATCTTGCTTACGAACTTGATAAAGTAACTTATATGTTGGGAGTGCATGATGCATTTGCTATAGACCATTGTGTAGATTAAAACGTGATAGATAAGGATGTAGATTATACGGATGATGAATAATAGAATGGGTTATATATATACTACTAGTGAATAGTACATTTAATAAGCAAATAATTTACATTTAAATTACAAACATAAAACGGATGGGCCCATTTTTCCGTATATTTAACATTTAAAATACATATATAAAATGGTTAATTACTAGACATCTATATAACCGTTATTTATCAATTATTTACTATTACATTTTACGGACAATTAATTTTTATAGGGCTATCCCATAAAAATAATGTCGTCCGAGTTGATAAATTGCATCAATATTACCTTTTTCAGCTGCTTCTTTGTATAATTCAAATGCTTTAGTTTCATTCTTTTCAGTTCCTATTCCATCAAAATAACAATTTCCAAGATTATTTATTGCTTCAATAACACCTTTTTCAGCTGCTTCTTTGTATAATTCAAATGCTTTGGTTTCATCCTTTTCAGTTCCTATTCCATAAAAATAATGTTGTCCGAGTTGATAAATTGCATTAATATTACCTTTTTCAGCTGCTTCTTTGTATAATTCAAATGCTTTGGTTTCATCTTTTTCAGTTCCTGTTTCATCTTGGAAATAGTTTTCAAGAGTATCTATTGCAATAATACCACTTTTTTCTGATGCCACTTCGTGTGATTCAAATGCTTTAATTTCATTTGTATTCAAATTGATTGATTTAAGGTCAGAAAATACTTTTTGCATATCTGGTCTATCATCTGGATTATTTTGCCAACATTCTAAAATATATTGGAATTAAAATTAAATTAGTTTTATACTAATAAACTAAATGCAAGATACTGAAACTAATAGCTATATATACCTTTATAAATATTAAGATAATCAATTGGTGTATTAGGAATTGGTGATTCTCTTTTTCCATTTGAAATTTCCAGCATTAATTTAAGCCTAAGATAAAATTTATCATAAGATTTAAATGGTTTTTCTCCAGATGATATCTCCCATAGAAGTACTCCAACACTATACACGTCTGATTTTTTATTAGGTCTATAATGATAACTATAATTATCATTATTTGTCTGCTCTTGAAAATGTTGTGGGTCAATATAAGGAACTATTCCAAAAATATCTTTTTGAGTTGATACTTCAGCCAATCTACGTGAAAGTCCAAAGTCCGCTAATTTTATTGTATTCTGATGAATAAGTATATTATCTGAATGCTATTTATAGAGTAAACCAAATTAATATATGTTTAAATAAAAAAATCAAAGTTAACAAAATACATACTAGATCACAATGAATAATGTCATATTGATGTATACATGATACTGCATCAGCAATTTGAATAGCAAACTGCAATTTCATATTCCAACCTAATTTAACAAAATTATCTTTTAAATAATTTCCCAATGTCCCACTATCCGCAAATTCAAGAATAAGTAAATAATTTGAATCTATATTATCTTCATTATCTAAATTAAAAAATAAGAGGTAAATTAGTAGTTTATCAATAAATTTGATTTTTTATTAAACAAAGATCAGCATCATTAATACCTACTTTTTCTTTCGGTAATACCAAAGAATTTAATAATGTTTGTGTGAAAACTAACTCTATGTAATAATTTTATCTATGCATCAAAAAAATTTTTATTTAGCTAAATATCAAGAGTTGACAATATTTAAATAAAATGTTATGTACCTCATTAATAATTTCTTTCATAATAAGACTATTATTACTGAAAGATTTTAATGCAACAATAGTATTTGAATCTCCCCAAGTAGCTTGACGTACGTTGCTAAATGCCCCACAACCTATAACTTTAGTATTTTTAAATTCAGTATAATCGTAGTAGTTAATGTAGCCACCGGAAACTCCATCCTTAAACCATTGAATCTGATTGTCTAGATTATTATTAGAACTGCTTGTCATATTTTACAAAGGATATTTAAATATAACAAACAACAAATATCCGAACGAGTATTCATTTATATATTACTTAATTTGCAGATCAAGTGATCGACCTTTGAGGTGAACTATAAAATTGCATTTACTAAAATAAATGACATAAACTACTCTAAATAAAACAAAATAAAATAAAATGATGTTATTCAAGTAGGTTATAGAGCTTCGATTAAAATATTGTTTAGAAACTTCATAAACTCTATAATAACGATAATTCTTCCATGGGAAAACAAAGCGAGGATCGCTCAGGAATATGACGTCGGGTTTTGCAAAAAAGGAAGCAGAAAAGTTGATCAAACTTAATTAAAGTTTAAGAAGACAAATAAGGAAAGAAAGGGGTACAAAGAAAAAAAATATCACGAGCGCGGAAAAAAAAATTAGCGATACCGGGAAATTCGGAAAAAAATAAAAATTAATAATGATCAATGGATTTAGTGAAACAACACGGGACATAATCTTTTGATATACCAGCAAGTGATTGATGCTATAAATTATAAAAAAGATAGGTCTAGTAGAACGTTTACGTATCAAGCAATCATCAGAAGAAAATATCAGTCCGTTAGGTTAACATCAATCTAAATAATTATCATGAAGGACGTTTTTTGAATATAAAGAATTGCAAGCCCAGTAAATAGTTTTTGTATAAATTTGTACCAAATGGGCTCATCCATATATAATTGGCGCTAGATTGGCTTAAATTTGGATTATTTTTTGCATAAATTTGAGCTAATTTCGAGCCAATGAGCCCGTTTGGCATAAATTTATACAAAACTATTTACTGGGTACGTTTATTATGTAATCAATTATAAATTGATTCAAGGTAGATGCCTCGCAAGAGAAATAGGGTTAAAAGGGATTAAAGAAAAATGCCAGTGAAAAACCAATAAAATTTTAAAGTCAGGCATCTTAAATGACGTACAGGAAAATAGTGAGGTTTGGTAAACAAAGGGTTTTCTTGGACGAACATTCAATAGGAACAGTAGATGATGGAAAAATGAACAGATACCCTATAAAAAAGGAATGTTTAGAATATATACGTAAAATATACAATATACATAAAATGTCTATAGAATGTCCATAAAATATATAAAAAATATACAAAATGGGCTCACTGTATATAAAATGTACAAAAAAGTATATGAGTCCGTCCCCTTTGCATATATCCTATGTATTCTATGGACATTCTATAGACATTTTATGTATAATGTACATTTTATGTTTATTTTATGTATGTTTTCTGAACATTCCTTTTTATAGGGATAAAAAGAACTAGAAGGCAACGAAAATACAGTATAATGGTATTAAAAATCTTATTCTAGATCATGTTTGGACATCATGATAAATATCATGATTAATTTTAAAAGGAAATGTCAAATATAAAATAATATTGTTGATGGATTTAAAAGCATAAAAATTCAGCCGAAGGCGCAGTAAATTTTCGGCTAACAACACCCAGCCAAAAAAAATTCATGTTGATCTTGAATATTTTATTGGTTCAACATCTAACTATTTTCGGCTGAATATTTTCGGCTAAATACACTTTTTTTAAATAATAGTGTAGTTAGCCGAAATATCCAAATAGCAAACATTGTTCATGTAACCTCCTAATTCACTTTATTATGGTCAATAGCACCCTCTTCAAATACATAATACATTTGTAAAGTTTAAAATCAATCTAAACTTGTTTAATTGGCTAAATTAATGATTTTCGAATCCATAATTCTGGCCGAAATTTTCTTAATTCTGGCCTAAAATTGGTTAAATTGAAAATTTCAGGTAAAATTATTTATATAAAATAATCTCCAAACTAAATATGGAATATATAACTTCTTGTCAGTCTCTAAGTGTTTATTGAAATATTTTTTCAAATGCTTTTTGTTTTTTGAGTTGGATCTTATCTAAAAATTAGTATATTAAAAATAAAAAAAATAATGCAAAAAACTTGAAATTTGTCAAAGTTAGTGAATATTATAAGACTTTAAATTAAAACAAAAAATATTTTTGCCATTGTATAATAAAAAAAAAAATAATAATGTACAGTACATATATTCTCAAATACAACTCAAATCCCTTAAAAAATTTTCCTTTTTTATTTTATTTGTATAATTGTGTTGTTATAGTTTTAATGGTTAAATAAACTATTCATTAATTTAAAGAACAATTAAATATTAAAAAAATTTCTTTTTTACAATTAAATTACTAAACATCTAATATTGAAGTATGATTGGACAGAAATAAATGAGTTAAAAATAACAAATATTTTGTAGTTTTATTTAATCAAAAATAATGCACTATCCAAAAATAAGTATATAGTAATGTTATGTACTTCTTGTTTCTATAATAAATGAAATTTTGTTATTATTTCATATTGACTGCCATTTGGATATTTCGGCTAACTACACTATTATATAAAAAAAAGTGTATATAGCTGAAAATATTCAGCCGAAAATAGTTAGATGTTGAACCAATAAAATATTCAGGATCAACATGAATTTTTTTTCGGCTGGCATGGGTGTTGTTAGCCGATGTAATGCTGTAGCATACCTAGTAAATTTATTAATTGTGGGGCGCAGTATTATATTTAATCTTAGTATATAAAATTTTAATTTATTTTTAGTTATATTTATAATTGGACCGAAAAGTCATTAAACTATTAGTCAGGTGAATCAAGAATAATTGGACCGAGAAGTCGTTAAACTATTAGTCACATGATTTAAGGATAATTATTGATTCGAGAGATATAGGATTAAGTAGATCATTACGTAAAGGGTATTACAAATCATAATTAAGAAGTTAATGACAATCTCATGGAAAATAGGAAATTATAAATATTTTGTGGAATTATTTTGAAAAAAATGGAAATACTTTTAAAGTAATGGAATTATTTTGGGAACTAAAATTAGGGATGGGCGTTAATTAACCATGGTTAATTAACTATGGTTAATTAACCGTTAATTANTAACCAAGATCATTCATTGAATCAGAATATCCTTTCTCAGCTGCTTGTTTATATAATTCAAATGCTTTGATTTCATTCTTCTTGGTTCCAATTCCATAAAAGTAGTGTTCGCCAAGTTGATATATTGACTGAATAATACCTTTTTCAGCTGCTTTCTTGTATAATTCAAATGCTTTAGTTTCATCTTTTTCAGTTCCTATTCCATTTTTGTAACAATATCCAAGATTTAGTATTACATAAATTTCATCCTTTTCAGCTGCTTCTTTGTATAAATCAAATGCTTTAGTTTCATCTTTTTCAGTTCCTATTCCATTTTGATAACAATATCCAAGATTATTTACTGCTTCAATATCAACCTTTTCCAGCTGCTTCTTTGAATAATTTAAATGCTTTAGTTTCATCTTTTTCAGTTCCTATTCCATTTCTATAACAATATCCAAGATTTAGTATTGCATTAATTTCATCCTTTTCAGCTGCTTCTTTGTATAATTCAAATGCTTTAGTTTCATCCTTTTCAGTTCCTATTCCATTAAAATAACAATATCCAAGATCATTTATCGCTTTAATATGACCTTTTTCAGATGCTTCCTTATATAATTCAAATGTTTTAGTTTCATTTTTTTCAGTTCCTATTCCATTTTGATAACAATATCCAAGATTATTTATTGCATTAGTATCACCTTTTTCAGCTGCTTCTTTGTATAATTCAAATGTTTTAATTTCGTCTTTTTCAGTTCCTATTCCATTAAAATAACAATTTCCAGGATTATTTATTGCTATAATATCACCTTTTTCAGCTGCTTCTTTGTATAATTCATCATATCTCTGATACATATTTGGCATATAATAGTCATATAATTTTAACATTCAAAATAATATTTTTACCATGTCTCTAACATATAGTTACTATATAAAAATCAGATTTTTATATTATATGTTCAACATATTGTCAACATATAGATAACATAAATATCATATGTCTGGTATATTTTAAAAATATCGCTAACATATTTTTTATATTGATAGGGTTTCTGCAAAGTTTATTAAAGAATAAATTTATGCTCCCAAAAACAAGTTTTGCACCTTTATACTTCCTTATATTTTATATATATCTTATAAATCCTTTTTATCTTTTTTATTTTCCCTATAAAAAAGGTTTGTGCTAAATTTGTGCCAAATGGGCTAATTATACAACATTTATTCGAAATTTGTACTAAAAAATAATATAAAATTTGAACAAATTCTAAACAAATATCGTATGATTAACCCATTTAGCACTAAGAAGTAACTTTATGAAAAATTATTGAAATTGTTTTTCCTGATTTTTTCTTATAACGAAACAAAACTCATAATTACAGTTAATATCATTTCTATACTAGTTCCACTTCAGCTGTGTGATGTGTTGAATAAATTATATTGTTGATAAGCAATCACCCATTATTGTAAATTTGGTTCCAATGTCAAACGTTAAATGACTGAAATTTTTCAAAAGTCGATATCAACAAAGTTTATTAGTATATCATGTGATATAATAAATTGACTCAAGCTGCTTAGTCACACGATCTGGTACAAAACTTTCTGATGCTTTGAGAACTTGAAATCGACTGAGACTTCAAGAAATTTACCTCATATTTCTCTCTCAACATTATTCAAATGTTCAAGCAATAAATAAATAGCAATTAATAAACAAAGTATCATAGTCATAGTGCAAAGAAAAAATTCAGAATTTGTTGCATTTGTTTTATCAAAGACATCTTCAGTACAGCAATTTTTGATGGGTGCTATAAGCTAATTTAGCTGTTTTCATTTAGCACAAGTGAGTTTGAATTCATTTTTATTACTCACAATTCCATATATAACTACAAAAAATTTATTAAGATATTTTGTCACAGACTTACAGTTTAGAAAAATTAATTACTGATTTTATAGGATTAAATAAATTTTTATAATGCAAAATTAAAATTACTGTTATATTAAAAAGAAAAATAAATAGTAAAATTATTCAGGCAATTTGAATAAAAATAGTTATTAATAATTTAATAGCAGAAATTAACTAGTAATATTTAAATTGCAAATATGAAATCATATTAAAAAAATGGATAAATCTAATTGTAACAGCCTGTTACGCGTCTTATTTGTAACAACCCCCAATTTTATCCAATTAAAATTTAAGATCGGGCGTAATGTAAACAAAAACAAAAGATCAGTCGTGTGTAACTAAGACAAAAGAATTTTTTAAAAAATTTCAAGAAACTGCTTATAACTTAAAATTTTGTCTATGAAACATTTGTGAAACACATATTAAATTTATTATTAAAAAAAAATAAAAAAAGGATGTTACAAATAAGATATGTAACAGCAGGCTGTTACAAATACATTTTTTCTAAAAAAATTACTATAACTTATTTTCATATTCTTCATATAATTTAAATGCTTTAATTTCATCTTTTTCAGTTCCTACTCCATTTTCATAACAATATCCAAGATCATATAGTGAGTAAATATGGTCTCTTTCTACTAATTCCTTATATAATGCAAATGCCTTAATTTCATCTTTATTGGTTCCTATTCCATATTGATAACATTCTCCAAGATTATTCATTGAAGTAATATGACCATTTTCAGCTGCTTTTATATATAATTTAAATGCTTTGGTTTCATCTTTTTCAGTTCCTATTCCATGTTGGTAACAATAACCAAGATCATTCATTGAATCAGAATATCCTTTCTCAGCTGCTTGTTTATATAATTCAAATGCTTTGATTTCATTCTTCTTGGTTCCAATTCCATAAAAGTAGTGTTCGCCAAGTTGATATATTGACTGAATAATACCTTTTTCAGCTGCTTTCTTGTATAATTCAAATGCTTTAGTTTCATCTTTTTCAGTTCCTATTCCATTTTTGTAACAATATCCAAGATTTAGTATTACATAAATTTCATCCTTTTCAGCTGCTTCTTTGTATAAATCAAATGCTTTAGTTTCATCTTTTTCAGTTCCTATTCCATTTTGATAACAATATCCAAGATTATTTACTGCTTCAATATCAACCTTTTCCAGCTGCTTCTTTGAATAATTTAAATGCTTTAGTTTCATCTTTTTCAGTTCCTATTCCATTTCTATAACAATATCCAAGATTTAGTATTGCATTAATTTCATCCTTTTCAGCTGCTTCTTTGTATAATTCAAATGCTTTAGTTTCATCCTTTTCAGTTCCTATTCCATTAAAATAACAATATCCAAGATCATTTATCGCTTTAATATGACCTTTTTCAGATGCTTCCTTATATAATTCAAATGTTTTAGTTTCATTTTTTTCAGTTCCTATTCCATTTTGATAACAATATCCAAGATTATTTATTGCATTAGTATCACCTTTTTCAGCTGCTTCTTTGTATAATTCAAATGTTTTAATTTCGTCTTTTTCAGTTCCTATTCCATTAAAATAACAATTTCCAGGATTATTTATTGCTATAATATCACCTTTTTCAGCTGCTTCTTTGTATAATTCATCATATCTCTGATACATATTTGGCATATAATAGTCATATAATTTTAACATTCAAAATAATATTTTTACCATGTCTCTAACATATAGTTACTATATAAAAATCAGATTTTTATATTATATGTTCAACATATTGTCAACATATAGATAACATAAATATCATATGTCTGGTATATTTTAAAAATATCGCTAACATATTTTTTATATTGATAGGGTTTCTGCAAAGTTTATTAAAGAATAAATTTATGCTCCCAAAAACAAGTTTTGCACCTTTATACTTCCTTATATTTTATATATATCTTATAAATCCTTTTTATCTTTTTTATTTTCCCTATAAAAAAGGTTTGTGCTAAATTTGTGCCAAACGGGCTAATTATACAACATTTATTCGAAATTTGTACTAAAAAATAATATAAAATTTGAACAAATTCTAAACAAATATCGTATGATTAACCCATTTAGCACTAAGAAGTTACTTTATGAAAAATTATTGAAATTGTTTTTCCTGATTTTTTCTTATAACGAAACAAAACTCATAATTAGAGTTAATATCATTTCTATACTAGTTTTACTCTTGAGTAATCATGGCGCAGTGTTAAATAAATTTATATTGTTGATAAGATTATTGTACCATTTGTAAAATTTGGCTCCCATGTCAAACGTTAATATAAATGAATGAAATTTTTCAAAAGTCGACATCGAAAACGTTTATTATATCATGTGATATAATAAATTGACTCAGTTGCTTAGTCACACGATCTGGTATAAAGTTTTCTGATGCTTTGTGAACTTGAAATTGACCGAGACTTTTTAGAAATTGATCTTTATGAAATTCATGTTTCTCTCCCAAATTTAATTGTTCAAGCAACAAATAAATAGCAAATAATAAACAAGTATTATAGTCATAATGTAATTTACTGCAGCAATTTTTGATGATGCTATAAATTAATTTAGCTGTTTTTCGTAAGTGAGTTTGTAAAATTTGCAATTATTAAATTTATCTTCACCACAAAAATTTTAGTAAATTAAAAAATTAATTTTATATACCAAAATGAAATGTAACTACAAAAAAATTATTAAGCTGTTTGTCACAGGCTTTAGTTACAGTTTAGAAGAGTTAATTACTGGTTTTATTTGAAAGGATTAATTGATACAGTAATAATTAAAAAATTTCATAATACAAAATTTTACTAGTATTACAGTTATAAAAAGAAAAATAAATAGTAAAAATTATTCAGGCAATTTGAATAAAATAGTTATTAATCATTTAATAGCAGAAATTAACTATATTTAAACCGTACAGTATACATATGAAATCCTATTAAAAAAAATTACTATAACTTATTTTCATATTCTTTATATAATTTAAATGCTTTATTTTCATCTTTTTCAGTTCCTACTCCATTTTCATAACAATATCCAAGATCATATAATGAGTAAATATGGCCTCTTTCTACTAATTCCTTATATAATGCAAATGCCTTAATTTCATCTTTATTGGTTCCTATTCCATATTGATAACATTCTCCAAGATTATTCATTGAAGTAATATGACCATTTTCAGCTGCTAGTTTATATAATAAAAATGCTTTAGTTTCATCTTTTTCAGTTCCTATTCCATGTTGGTAGCAATAATCAAGATCATTCATTGAATCAGAATATCCTTTCTCAGCTGCTTCTTTATATGCCGGTAGGTAGCAAGTAAGTAACGGAAATTGGCTAAGTAAGTAACGTAAAATTACTATTTTGGGTCAATTTACGTTACTCCCCTTATATAAGGCACGGAACGTAAAGTCAATTATATTTACTTTACGTTACTCCCCTTACTAATATAAACTTTGATTTATAGGATGCCTTGTGGAGCCTCAACACTTTTGATTCAATTAGTATCTCAAAATGGGTTATATAAAGTACTAACATCATCTGGGTTTTTCCAAATATTTCATCGGCTGATGGCTGATTTTTTAACTTAGCTAATTTTTGATTGGCTAAACTTAAAATTTTATTGCGAAGATATTTTTTTAAAATTTTTTTGCAGACATATTTATTCAAAATAATTTTATTTAATGAAATTTTATTTGCAAATATTAAAATTTAAGTCCCACATTTTCGATTTTAAAGAAAAAATTAAAATTTACTGTATTTATTTTTAATGAATTGATACAAATAAAAAATACTGTAATAACAATAAATAAAAAAGATAAGTAAATTACAATGATCAAGGAGAAAGATGCTAATAAAAAAAATGAAATAACAATGGAGTAATGGAAAGTAATAGAGGAAGAAAGGGAGTAAAAAAGAGTAATGAGAAGTGATAGAAAACAAAAAGGAGAAATAATGATGGATGATGAAAAAGAGTGATGGGAGACGAAAAGAAGTGATGGGAAGATGAAGAGGAGTGATGGGAGACAAAAAGAAGTGATGGGAGACAAAAAGAAATGACGGGAGACGAAAAGGAGTGATGGGAGACGAAAAGAAGTGATGGAGACAAAAAGAAATGATGGGAAGTAAACAGGAGAGATGGAAAATGAAAAGATGTAATAGAAATAATGAGAGACGAATAATGAGAAGTAATATGAGGTGAAAAATGATGAGAAACAAAAAATAAAAAAAAGATCATGATAGGGGGTTGGGTAATGATAGGAAACCAAGTAAAAAATAAAAAACAAATAATAAAGTAAAAAAAAAATGAAATTAGTAAGAAACGAAATATAAGATAAAAACGAAATAAAAAATAAATAAAAAATAGAAAAAAGCATACCTTTATTAATTTTAGAACTAAAAGAACTAAAATATCTAAAAAAAAAATGAAATAAAATTAGTGAAAAACGAAATATGAAACAGAAACCTACTTTGACTTTTAAGTAAAGTCGTAGAGCAGGAAAAAATACGCATAGTACGTGCTCTTTAAAAGCTCCATAATAGGTACATAAAGTTACGCCATATTTATTCAAAAATCAGAAAATTTAACGATGTCACGTGATAAGAAATGATCGATGCATAAAATTTAGATATGGTGCTATGTAAAAAAAAAATTAATAGAAAATTCATTCTTTCAACCGGATAATTTTCATCCGGATTATAAACCGGATGAAACCCGTGAAATCCGGATATCCGAAAGAAAAAAAAATCCGGATCAATCAAGGTTGGTCCAGATATGGGTCGAAGTACTACTTATCAATTCTGTTGCAATGCAACAGGTTGCAGCTAGTAGTTAAATAATTAAAATAAAATATTTCATTAGTATTATTATTTATGGGAGTTGGGAATAATAGGGGTTTTTCTCCAATGAAAAAAATTTTCCTCACACGAAATAAATTAGTAATTTCCAGAAGCATACATTAAATATAAATGTGTGATTTTTAATTCTTTTTATAATGCATTTTAAACAGTGCTTGTAAAATTAGAGATTTCTGGTTATTTATAAACATAGTTAGTTGTTTGCAAAAAATTTAGTATGAAAATCATGAGTGACAATTAGTGCTATGATTTATAATTTAGTACGCTATATTGGTAGTACTTTTAATAATATTTTAAAACGCACTAAAATACAAAGTTATTTGTATTCTTTAATATTTAACAATTCTTGAATCAAAAAATTGCGAAAGTATATGCTTTACAATTTCACTTTTTTAATTAGTACAATCCCGTTAGTATGTCAAAATATTATCTACCCAATCACAAATTAAATATATCTCAAATTATTATGACGTCACTGGACAATCAAAAAATAATAAATATTATCCTAACGTTGCTAATAGTCCTTTTTAAAATTAATACTGCCTCTTCTACATTGATTATTGCTTCCCTTTTAACCTCACCCGTCTCCAGGCCCCTGAAAACATCGAAAAAAAATGTCCAGAAAACATTTGAATGACCAAATTTACTTCACACTTAGATTGGTTGATTTTCATTTTGATAAATGAATATAATTCCCTTTTTCAATGAAACTATAAATATTCTTACAAAATAAAAATTCTATTATATTTTAATTATAAAAATAATAATATAAAGAACAATGTAGTAGGAAATAATTTTTGCAATCAAATACATTTTGTAATAAAAAATTTAACCATGGTATATAATATAATTGATAAACGATGAAAAATTGAAAAATTCACAGGATAATTGATAGATAGGAAAATCCATGTATTTAAATCTAAAATTTCAAAACATTTTGTGGAGTATGAAATTAGTAGTAATTCAGATTAAAATGGTAATTTAGGTTAAGTTTAATTTGTTTAATTTGAATTTGATAATTCAGATAACCATTCTATCAAATATCATCTTTTTTTGTTGATTTTTATATTATTTTAATTATATCGATCTCTTTCAGTTCCTATTCCATTTTTATAACAATTTATAAGATTATCTATTGTCTCTTTCAGCTGCCTCTTTGTATAATTCAAATGCTTTAGTTTCATCTTTTTCAGTTCCTATTCCATTTTGATAACAATTTCCAAGATTTAGTATTGCATCGACTTGACCCCTTTTCAGCTGCTTCTTTGTATAATTTAAATGCTTTATTTTCATCTTTTACAATTCCTATTCCATAAAAATAACAATTCCCAAGATTTCCCAATGCAAAAATGTTGCCTTTTTCAGCTGCTTCTTTGTATAATTCGAATGCTTTATTTTCATCTTTTTCAGTTCCTATTCCATTTTCATAACAATTTCCAAGATTATTTGTTGCACTAGTACTGCCTTTTTCAGCTACTTCTCTGTATAATTCAAATGCTTTGGTTTCATCTTTTTCAGTTCCTATTCCATTTCTATAGCAATATCCAAGATTTAGTATTGCGTCAATTTGACCCTTTTCAGCTACTTCTTTGTATATTTCAAATGCTTTGGTTTCATTTTTTTTAGTTCCTATTCCATTTTGATAATAATATCCAAGATTTAGTATTGCATCAATTTGACCCTTTTCAGCTGCTTCTTTGTATAATTCAAATGCTTTAGTTTCATCTTTTTCAATTCCTATTCCATTTTGATAACAATTTCCAAGATCCTTTATGGCCATAATATCACCTTTTTCAGCTGCTTCTTTGTATAATTCAAATGCTTTAGTTTCATTTGTATTCAATTTGATTGATTTAAGGTCAGAAAATACTTTTTGCATGTCTGGTCTATCATCTGAATTATTTTGCCAACATTCTAAATATATTGGAATTAAAGTTAAATTAGTTTATACTAATAAATTAAATACAAGATACTGAAATTAATAGTTATATATACTTATATAAATATTAATGTAATCAATTGGTGTATTAGGAATTGGTGATTCTCTTTTTCCATTTATAATTTCCATTATTAATTTTGGTTTTTGATAAAATTTATCATAAGATTTGAACGGCTTTTGACCAGATGATATCTCCCATAGAAGTACTCCAACACTATACACATCTGATTTTTTACTTGGTTTATAGTGGTAACCATTAGTATCATTTTTTGTTTGCTCTTGAAAATGTTGTGGATCAATATAAGGTACTATTCCAAGAATATCTTTTTGAGTTGATACTTCAGCCAATCTACGTGAAAGTCCAAAGTCTGCTAATTTTATTGTATTCTGGTGGATGAGTATATTATCTGAGTGCTATTTTATAAAAGAAATCAAATTAATACATATTTAAATAAAAATCGTGGTTAACAAAATACATACTAGATCACAATGAATGATATCATTTTGGTGTATACATGATACTGCATCAGCAATTTGAATAGCAAACTGCAATTTCATTTTCCAATCTAATTTATCAAAATTGACTTTTAAATAATTTCCCAATGTCCCACTATCTGCACATTCAAGAATAAGTAAATAATTTGACTCTATATTATCTTCATTATCTAAATTAAAAAATAAGGGTAAATTTAGTAGTTTATCAATAAATTTGATTTTTATTAAATAAAAATCAGCATCATTAATACCTACTTTTTCTTTCGGTAATACCAAAGAATTTAATAATGTTTGTATGAAAACTAACTCTGTGTAATAATTTTATCTATGTATAAAAAAAAATTTTTATTTAGCAAAATATCAAGAGTTGACAAGATTTAAACAAAATGTTATGTACCTCATTAATAATTTCTTTCATAATAAGACTATTATTGCTGAAAGATTTTAATGCAACAACAGTATTTGAATTCTTCCAAGTAGCTTGGCGTATGTTGCTAAATGCCCACAGCCGATAACTTTAACATTATTAAATTCGGTATAATCGTAGTAATTAATGTAGCCTTTAGTAATACCATCCTTAAACCATTGAATCTGTTTGTCTATATTTTTATTGGAACTTCCTTCCATATTTTCTATAAGAATAGTTAAATATGACGATAACGAACAATACGAGTATACTACTTTATTATGCATTTATGTACTACCTGATATACATGAATGGAGTGTTTCACATAAAGATACGAATCATGTGATCGACTTATAAGGTGAAGTAAATATAAATAAAGCACCCCCCTTTTTTTGTGCAAGTTCAATTTTCAAAAAAAGGTCCGTCATTAAGGATTTTTTTCTTTGGCATAAAAGCTTTTAAACTTACAATGTGGGTGTAATTTTTCACCTGCTCTGCAAGTTTACTTATGATTCGGAAGAAGGTTTGAATGTCAATTTTGACTTTACATATAGATGATTAATTTATCGTCTTTGCCGATCATTTCCAAAAATAGATTTAGCGAAAAGAAAAATTTTTGCCAAATAAGTCGATAACGACATTTAAAACCGCTTTTGTCGCTTTATGTAGGACTTGCAGAGCAGCAAAAATTACACCTAGGTAGTAACATTTTTATTATTTTGTTGCGCCACAATCAGCAAACCTGGCTACACAAAGAAATTTCCCGTGAAAAGAGCATTTTCACGTGATCACCCATTTTATTCATATTTACCCCAAAAAATTTCAACCCCACGTGATTTTTGGCCGGCATTAAGAAATTAAGCATGTGACAAATAAGGCGTGATAAATAGTCCCTGGAATTACAGTAGAAAACAAGAAGGGTGTGACACCGGTGACAAATTTTTAAGGTCACGTGGGTGTAAAATTTTTGTGGCGATGATACTGGGGAAGATTTTTATTCATCACAAGGCACTTTTTTTCAGGGGTAGTTCACAAAGCACACCTTTTTTGTGTGCCAGGTTCGTGGCACAGCAAATTTTAAAAAATCATCATTAAGGTTTTTTTCTTCGATATAGAGCTTTTATTAAACTTATAATGTAGATGTAATTTCACCTGTTCCGCAAGTTTACTTAGGATTCGGAAGAAGGTTACGAATGCCGATTTTAACTTTACATATAAATGATTGATTTACCGTCTTTGTCGATCATTTCCAAAAAAATGGATTTCGAGAAAGAAAAATTTTTGTTAAATAAGTCAATAATGTTATTCAAAATCGCCTTTATCGCTCTAAGTAAACTTGAAGAGCAGTCGAAATTACATTTATCTAGTAATTTTTGAAGTTATATGTTATTAAAAAAAATTTTCTCTTTATGAATTTTCGTTGCGCTGGCTGCGCCACGAACATGGCACACAAATTAAAATGACGTAGAGTTCTCTTTTGCATCCGGTTTATTAAATAAAAATAAAATGGTTGTTTTTATGTGATATAAAATAGTTATTTATTTTTGTTTTTTAGTTTTAGTCCTTTTAGTTTAACTCTTTATTTGATATTAGACCAATAAATAAATAAGATATATATTCATTGTAAAATTCCAATATCTGATATATATCAACTATTATATGACAATATTCGTTGAAATTAGGTTTATTAATAAATATCGGTTGACGTGACTAAAAAAAATTTTCCTGACCTTAAACCCAAGTACTCAATGCAATTTCACGTTCTCACATAATTTAACACAACTTAACTCCCTTATTTTTCAAATAATAAAAATGTTTACATCACATTGTTATAATTTACTGCTGTTGAAATCGAAGTAATTTCTCCGTCTATCTATTAATAGTGTGCTATAAATCTTTTGGTCATCGGCATTTTTGTGGTTAACAAAGGTGATTGTATTCAAGCACTAGCGGTAGCTGAAGTAATGACAAAAAATTTTTTCGAAATTAGCGCAAAAAAGTTGATTAAAGTCTTAATTTTAATTTTTGCCATACCTATAGGCCATAAGTTTGGAGAAAATTCTATATTACCCCTGACATAGTGACATAGCAAACTAAGCATTACTATTTAAACAATTTATTAAAGATTTATTAGACAATGGTATTCCACTTTGTTATTTTCTTGGAATATTGGTATGACAGCTCGTCAGTTTGTCTATGATTGGTAAACCAGCGAGACATTATTTAACATCGATGTCATCATATCTTTTTTTATAAAGAAATGTCTTTATCTCTCGTCTCATTTCTAAGTTATATAGACCGCTGTGGGAGGTGTTGGACAAGTTGTGGGTCAAACTGTTAAGTTTAAGGATTATAGGGAGTTGGGGATAATAGGGTTTTCCCCCAGAAGGAAAAAACCGTAGTAAATATAACATGTGCGTGATTAACTATTTTAATTCTCCTTTTTATTGACATTTTAAACAGTACTTTTAAATTAGGGATTTCCCGGTTATCTATGAAAATAAACGAAGGTTTTCGGCCATTTATAAACATAATCAATTACTCTCAAAAAATTAGCATGGAGTGACACTTAGTGCGACAGGGGATTATGATTTATATTTTTAATTCTGATTAATGTGCCAACTATATCGACCCAATCACAATATAGTAAATACGTTAAAAAAGCAGTAACGATAATAGTCCTTTTTCATAATCAAATACCGCATCTCCCACGTTGATTATTACTCACACCATATTGAAAACATCAGAAAGAAAAGCCCGGGGAACATAAATTTACTTCACATTTAGATTGATTGATCTTTATTTTGACAAATGATTAAAATGAATATTTTTATTTTTTTCAATAAAAACTTTAAATATTCTTACAAAACGGACACTTATTTTTTACATTATCATTTTTTTTTTAGACGTAATGATTTTGTAATACTTTGTAACAACTAATATTTTTATTAATTTGCAATAATTTTAAAATGTTTTACAAGTATTAATGTTTTTATTATAAAAATTAATATTTTTTATCCATACGTCGCAAAATTAAGTAACAATTATATATTTTTATTAATATGTAAAGATTTTTAAAATATTTCGTGGATTATTATTCAATGTTATTAGAAAAAATAAGTTTCAGTTTCATATTAAATAAAAATGCACCATTTGGATATTAATATACTGAATAAAATTTAATAAATTATTTTAAAATTTTTGTATTCATGAAGATATTAAGTGTCGGGATAATGAATATTAGGATTCTGATCGTTGGGATTTTTGTAAATCCGTTATTTTCACAAGGATATTTTACATATTTTTATTACTATGTAATGACTCAATGACTCATGCAATTTAAGATGCTCATATATATTATAATTGTATTTGAAATTCCTTTTTAAATCACGAAAAAAATACAGTAAAATTCAGCCAACTATATTCTAGTCCTTAACAAATTTAATCGCAGATTTGCCAATTTTAAGCTCTAGAAATTTAAAAACTCCCTTATCTAAAATACTCGCACCACAATTTTACCCTCATAGCGGCAAAATACCCGGTAAAGTTTCACTACATTTAATGAGAAATGCAAAGTGTAATTTTCATGTGGAATATAATTATAATGGTTAAAGAAGACAAATATAAGGAAAATGCTACTAATAGAATTAAAAATTCACTTCAATCTTAGATAATATGCCGTTAATGTGAATCCTTAAGGCATAGGAAAATGGATTAGTTTTATAAGTATTAATGGAAATTAAATATTCAAAATATTTATTTATATACTTCCAAAAACATAATAGCCACAAAACTTGAACTCTTTAATAAGGTGTTTATTACATCATTCTAATTTGTTTTACAGTGATTTGATCGCAATATATATTCTTAATTATCTTTATAGAGTTGCCATCCACTTGGATAAAAGCGGTCATATTATAAGAAACTTTTGATCCTAGTTAATTAAGCGTATATAAAATGTATATTGTCTGCTTGTGCGGGCTTTCGTTCAATAGTTTCGTTTTTGATGTTTGCAACAGCTCGGATTTCGGTAAATTGTTCATATTATTTTATCATGACAAATATAACGTTAATCAAATACTGTAATATTAATATAATGTAGGGATTGCTTATTTGGAAAATATAACGTTTATTTGCTTTGAAACTAAATTTTTTAATAATCATAATTTTCAAGTATCAAAGTTTAACAATCGATAAAATAAAAAGAAAATTTTCGGTAACGTAAAAAGCAGTAAATATATTAATAAACTTCTCACCATGTATTTTTTCTGCGAAGTTTATTATTCTTTTATTATATGCAGTAGAACTATCAAGTTTTGAAAAGACTTTATTAATACAATAAAAATATTATCTTTATTACATTAATAAGAAAACCAACAATAGATTTTACGAAATAAAAAAGAATCGTGAGAAATATTTTAGATAAAAGTTTCTTTAGTGCTTCGATCCGAGTCCGGTTTATCCGGATTTTATTCAGGATTTCGACGGATTTTTATCCGGATTGTAAGTTTCGGATAATTTAAAGTATTTCGGGAACTAATGATCAGAACTCTATGATTCATAAGCTCTTAATGCTACGAATGTGATCATAGTACTGAAAATTAAAAATAATAAGTTTTAACCCGAATTTTATTTTAATAACTATTTTCATCTGGATAAAATAATTATTTTATCCGGATAACGGTTTTTATCCGGATCGAAGAACTACGGTCGTACGCAGTAAAAATAATTTCTTTAAAAAAAAGCTTATACAACTACTTTGTTTTATTTTATCTATTTTAATTTTTTTTTAATCACAAGCCCATTTTCATATGATATTAATCATTGACGTGCCCGTCGCGTCCTCTTTTTCAACGCTAAAATAAATACTAATTTTTAAACAAATGAAATTATGACATTATTGTTCACTCAATGGAATGTTATACAAAAAAATAAGCGAAACCCACAAAGACCTTTGCGAGTTACAATTATCAACCCTGTAAAAAATGTTGATCCGTGTTTTATAATTCCATGTTTTATAGTCTTAAATCATGGAAATTTCATCTCTTTAACACGGATATCCGTGAATGTATCATTTCACGGAATTTTTACGAAAGCCATGGAAATATTCGGATAAAAATTTTTTATAGGGAACAGTGATTCGCTGAAGAACTTTTTTAAATTGAGTCATTTTAATATACTGTTAAACTATCATAGTTTAGTCCTGCAATCCATGATTGGTATGAGTTTTTTCCTTAAAATAGATAACTTTTAAATCATACAGTACAAAACTTGAAAGTACTATATACAGTATGGGCCGTGACTTATAGTACCATGAATGATGTTATTGTGATTCACAGCTGCGACGTAAAAATCATGATGCCTATCCCGTGTCCATTAAAATATCAAACCAAACTGAGAGAAAAATTAGATTACATAGATCATTTTTCCAAAAATTTTCAAAAATTCCGTACCGTACCGTACTATATATATTATATATATTAGAGCCAGTACAGTACGGTACGGTTAATTTTTTTTATATATATCCAAATAACTACGGACATTAATGTCCAAATAACCACCATAGTTAAATGGACATTGGTGTCCAAATAATCATTATGCTAAATGTACCATTTAATTATGGTGGTTATTTGGAAGGTTATGCCTTACGGTGTCCGGTCCGATGATCCTTCTGAGTTCAGTCATGTCAATTTTTAGCACAGTCATGTGAATTTGGGTCCGGATCATCGGACCATGCGGTCCAGTTATTCGCTTAAAATTACTTGGGTCCGATTGATTATAAAGCTTGATCTACGCGATTTTTTTTTGCTATTCGCTTTATAATGAGAGTTAAAAAAAAATCATTTTTACTAATATAAATATTTAATGGGATAATAGTTGTAGTAGATTTTGTAATAAGCTAATGCAAAATGTATTCGCATAAATTGCAAGGTCCCTCTTGTTTCAATAAAATTAAGATGCAAGCATTGTTACTTTTAATTTTTGCATTTTATTGTATAAAATATTTATTTAAATCTACAACTAATTATTAAATACAAGAAAAAAAAATAAAATGTAGATCGGTCATGTCGGTCTGATCGATCAAAATCACAGGACTCAGAAAAGTTAACTCAGTCTGATAGTAGCAAAGTCCGATTAAAGTTTAAATTCGGTCTGCATCAAAATTCATATGACTGTGCTAAAAATTAACATGACTGGACTCAGAAAGATCATCGGACCGGACTCAGTAAAGATATATTCTTATTTGGACATTAATGTCCGTAAGATTATGCTGTTCTAAAATACGTTAATTTCTTTCATCAAAAATAAAAAATATTTAACTACATACTAGGCCGGTTCACTTCTGGTCGGATGTATTAATATCGTTAATTTTTAAATACAGTATATCGGTTTTATTTATTTTTCTTTTTTCGATCTTAGGACTAATATGGAACGCTATAACTAGGTTTAAAGGAATAAATATCAATTTACAACACTCCTCTTTAATAAATAACACAATCGCATGTAATACACATTATTTATTTTTTTTTAAGAAAGTTGAAACTTGAAAGTTATCAGTAACACACTAAAAAAAAAGAAACTACGAATAACGTTTCAGAATATGTTCATTCTATTAAATAAAAAATTAAAAAGCTTAATTAGTATATACGTTAAGAAATACTCAACTATCTTGTTGAAACGCTAAATTTTAGTAAAATTCTCTACTTAAAAGTTTTTAATTTCAATATAGGGATTGAAGCCCAATATTGAGACACCCCATGCCGAGAGAAACTCAGTAAGATTCGGTATAACTCAGAATAAATAAAAACTACACCACCGTGTTCGGACCAGTGCTCCGAATCTAACAATATGGTTTTACCTTATTCTGAACTTTACCGAGTTTTACCGAATGTACCGAGTCGTCTCTCGGTAAACTATTAGGTGTCCCGTACATTATGAAATCAGCTGTAATATATGTTACAAAGGGACCGAGAAAAGTATCGGCATACGTTCCATCGCGAAATTATACAATATCAATACAACGCGGTTTTTCTTATTATACGTGAAACGGGACAATGAAATTTATCGATACAGGAAATTATCGATACATCGGGGATCGGTACATAGAGGTTTGACTGTATTCATTTATGTAATCTGTCATATTGGCTACTTTTCTTTCCTCCTTTACCGACACAATTTTTGAAGTTAATTATTTTACAATAGATAAATACGATTTAACATATGGTGTTAAATTATTTATTCAGAATTCAAATTACATCATTCCTTTTCAATAATAAAATCATTATCTCTATATTGAGGAGGCAGTAAGAATTTTACCTGATTGAATCACAAAAGATTAATTAATAACACCAAAGAAAGAAACGTGTATGTATATATATATTGAACAAAAAATTATTAAAATATACGTCAATGTATTACTCAACTACCTTGTTAACGTTAAATTTTTATTTTTTATTAAAAATTTCTGCTCAAAAATCGTTAATTTCGTATAATTAATTAATTATTCATCTACCGTACGAATAAAATACTCAAAATCTAATAGAAATAGGAAACGTTTGATATTAAATCTCAACGCGTAGACGGATTAATACAGTATATACGAAGCAGTAATTTTAATAAAAACGAATTAATATACATTTTAGATAGTTAATTTTGAAAAAAAAAAAAATTTTTTGATATCGAACTTAAACATACCGACAAAGAAATAAAGATAATTCCATTTGTTACACCGAATTATGTTATGATGAAAAATTAATACAATTGTTTTTTACTTAAATGTAAAACATCATTACATGAAATACTTACTTATTTTCATTTAATTATATATTTTCTGAATCTAATTACTGTAAAGTTCTATTAAAAATGTTACAACATAATTCTCTTAAAACCTAATTTCCCTAAATACGTCATTCTATAAAATGTTCCACACATATTTCAAATAAATGTTAAAATATCAAAATCTATTAAGAAAAAAATTACTATAACTTATTTTCATATTCTTCATATAATTTGAGCGCTTTAATTTCATCTTTTTCAGTTCCTACTCCTTTTTCATAACAATACCCAAGATCATATATTGAATATACATGCCCTTTCTCAACTAATTCTTTATATAATTCAAATGCTTTAATTTCATCTTTTACGGTTCCAATTCCATGTTGATAACATTCTCCAAGATTATTCATTGAAATAATATCACCTTTTTCAGCTGCTTCTTTATATAATTTAAATGCCTTAATCTCATCTTTTATAATGCCAATTCCATGTTGGTAGCAATACGCAAGATTATTTAACGCGTTAACGTCACCTTTCTCAGCCGCATTTTCATACAATTCAAATGCCTTAATCACATTTTTTTTAACTCCAACTCCATAAAAATAGCATTCTCCAAGTTGATATGTCGACTTAATATTACCCTTTTCAGCCGCTGTTTTATATAATTCAAATGCTTTATTTGCATCTTTTTCGATCCCTATTCCATGTCGAAAAAAATCACCAAGAAGAATAATATTTTGTCGTTTATCCATATTATCCAAAAAATAATTCATTATTTCATTCTCATTCTTGTTATTTGGCGTAATATATTGTTTAATTAACTGAATATAATTGTCTTTATCAATCCCTCCTTGAAGAAATTTTTCATATAATAAGAAAAGTTTGTTAATAAGTTTTTTGTGATAATCGAAATTAAATGAACTTCCATCTATCTCCATAGTATTACTTTCAGGAAGTTTAATTTGTAATGAATTAGTTATATTAGTAATCCATGAACAAAGATTATCGTCTCTATTATTACATTTCAACTTTTCATTTTTATTCTCTAGTGATTTTAGGTCTGAAAATACTTGATGAATGTCTGGTCTATCTTCTGGATTACACTGCCAGCAACCTAAAATAATTTTTAAATTAAATAATAAAGGGAATTAGATTATAACATAAATGATAAGGAACGACCAGCGTCGTAAATATTACGAATGATAAATTATCAAGAATAAATTATTATTATTATAAAAATAAATAATATATTACTTGTATAAACTTCAACATATTTATCGGGCATCCCAGGTACTGGACTTTCTCTTTTTCCATTTTGAAGCTCCGTAATTAATGTGTGTGAATAATAGGATTCAAACGGTAATCGTCCAGACGATATCTCCCATAGAAGCACACCGACACTATATACATCTGATTTCTTGTTTGCTTTATAATGTTGTTCATTATTGGTTTGTTCTTTTGGCTCTTTTTGATCTTTAAAAAGTAATGGATCGATATAAGGCAACATTCCAATAACTCCCTTGACAGAATTTGATACTTCAGCCAATCTACGTGAAAGACCAAAATCCGCTAATTTGACCTTGTTCTGATGAACTAATATATTCTTTGAATGCTATTTTTTTTACAAATTAAAAATTAATATCAATAATAATGTAATAAAAATCAAAAACAAAATACGTACCAAATCACGATGTATAATATTCTTTTGATGTAAACATGAGACCGCATCAGAAATTTGTATAGCAAATTGTAACTTTGTACTCAAATCCAATTTACTGAAATTTTCTTTTAAATAATCCCTCAACGTACCACTATCAGCATATTCAAGAATAAATAAGTAATCTGGATCAATACTATCCTCATTATCTGAAATATGATAATATATTTATTATTAATAATTAAATTTTGTTTAATATGATACAACACTTATTGAAGATAATATACAAGCAATATGGACTTTGTAATTAGAAGAAGGGAATTGTTTGTAAAAAAAAAAAGAAAAAAAATAGCGCATACACCGTAAATACCGGGACGTTTTGATAACCTAATAAGCACTGCAGAGTGGGCCTTATTGATGTTGATGATTACTTACTTTTTCTTTTAGTAATACCAAAAAATTTAATAATATTTGCGTGAAAATGAACCTCCTGTAATAATTGTAACTATAAAAGAAAAATATTTGTTATAACATTAATATTACTTATTTTTTGACAAATATTAAATGATATTTTTTTATTCTTATCATTTACCTCATTAACAATTTCTTTCATAATACAAGTACCTTTAAAAGATTTTAGTGCAACAACGGTATCGGAACCCTTCCAATTTGTTTTATACACATTACCAAATCCTCCTTTACCTACAAATTCTTGATTTTGAAATTCACTATAATCATGATAATTTATGTAACGATTTTTAATTCCATTCTCGATCCATCGAATTGATTCATCTGTGTCTGTGTTAACATTTATACTATTTGCCATTTTTTTAAAAAGAATTTTGTCTTGAGAAAGAAAAACTCCGGTGAAAAAAAAATGCATGCACAAAAATAATTATACTAAATCGAGTGTTGATCCGGCACACATTTCCGGATCGACAAGTCACATGATTGTGAGTGCAGTCAGATGATCTTTCTAAGTGTTGTCTTGAATATCACCATTTGTATAATATTATCTGAGTCTATAAATTCAAAAAATTCAAACAGATCAGACTTATTTGATTATTCGGTTAACCAATTAACCGATTAACGTTAGTCGTCTTTTTTTATTAGCTATAAAAAAAATGTAAAAATATATATATACTGAACATCTATGTATATTATCAAATTAATGAGCACGAAAACTACATTAAAAAATAATTATTACTAAACTTCTTTATCCTCTTTATATAGAAATAAAAAAATTTTTCGCTCAAAATTTTCATCCAATCAAAGGTCCTCACGTAATGTGATTTGGTCCGTGTTGATTTTTTTTAAAAAAAATATATAATAATAAACATAATAAAAATACAATGTACTAAAAAAATTCATCGTAAATAGTATTAGTAATGTTAAAAAATAAATATTTCATAGTAAATATTCTCTTACTAAATTTGATTCATTTGATTAAAAATGCCATAATGCAAATTATTACACTATAAAAAATCTTTGTAAAAAGTTTTGCAATTTCACGCCCATCTTTTTTAAAATTAAGCTGTGGCTGAATCTTTTTTTTAAATGAGTTGATATTTTTAGTAATACTAATTACTTATTGGAATAATAGATTTTAAGATTCACATTGAAAACAGGGGAATTATAATCTGTATTCCGAATGGATCATATGTAAGATTAGATCATTTTAACATATTACTTACCAAATATGGAAACAATAATGGGAACTTTATAATATTAAAATTTTTATATAAATATGGTAGTTTACTGTCATTTAACTTTCACTCTTTCAATTATATTATGGGACGACTCAGATATTCTTACACTTGTGGAGTATGCAATTTTAAAACCAAAACGATTCCATGTACAAAATGTACTAAATATGAACGTCATAATAATTTTGACAGCGGATATAAAAATGTAGATGATATGATTATTGCATCACAAAGCCATGCGAAAGATGATAGGGATTTTCTTGAATGGATAGAATTCTCTCAGTTAAGAATTTTAGAAACATTGGATGAAGGAGGATTTGGAACAGTTTATAAAGCTAAATGGCTTGACGGTTTACCTATGGATGCAAGTGATGTTGGTAGAGCTTGGAATAGAAGTCATTTTAATTATGTTGTCGCAGTAAAATTCTTTCATAATAATAAAGATTTTTTAAAAGAGGTAAAGTAACATTTTTGAAGATATTATTATTATTAAAAAAATCCTAATATTTTATTTTATTTAAGTTTACAAATATTTACAAGATGGTAAGAAAATTTTCCGAAGAGAACGAATTTCCATCAAATATCGTTCATTATTATGGTGCTACATATGATTACGACAATGAGCATTACGGTATTGTTATGGAATACTATTCACATACTTCTTTGATTAATCATCTAACTTATAATTGGCAAGAAATTTATTGGATGGAAAAATTATATATTCTTCGAGACATTTCCTATGGGCTCCATACACTTCATAGTCAAAACCTAATTCACGGAGATTTGCATAGCGGTAATGTAATGATTGATTATACCGATGAATCGGATATCGCATTTCTTGGTGATCTGGGATTTTGTAGATTTGAAGAAACCGTGATAACAAATAATTGTTTTAATGGCGTAATACCTTTTATTGCTCCAGAAATCTTTGAAGGATTTCCATATAGCAAAAAAGCTGACATTTATAGTTTTGGAATGATTATGTATCATATTTCAACTAACAAAGCTCCTTTCTATTATCGAGCCCATGATACTAAATTAGCCAAACAAATTTCTAATGGACTTAGACCAAAAGTTTATCAAGAAGATGGAATTCCACGTTGTTTTGTAAATTTAATGCGTAATTGTTGGAATTCTGATGTTAGAAGTCGACCTAATGCTTACACTTTATATGAGAAATTCAATTCTTGGATCGAGTATAGTGAAGCATTTGAAGATATGGAATGGAACATAACTGAGCCATCTATTTATCATAGAAAAGCTGTTTATACGAGCCGATCATGGTAAGATTTTCGTAAAAAAAATTTATAATTACAAGATACGTCGACATTTATATAATAAAATTTAAATTTAGGTGGCAATAAAATTTTATTATGAAGTTTTTACAAAATTATAGTATAGTATTTAGTCCGAATTGCTAAGGATAATGGTTCTTTATAAAGTATATTCATCTACTATTAATTAGGAAGGAAATTTCACTATTAATTATATACAGTAATATGTTTTATGTTTTATTTATAATTTATCAAATTCACTATTTTATAATTTGCACTATAAACAATTTGCATTTTTAAAATCAAAAAAAAAAGAAACTGTGTTATGCTTGTCACATACAAAATATGCTCTATTAAACTTTTAATCACATTGTTATAAATTCTCGCTTTTGATTGGCTTTTTATTTAACTTATCACAAAAATTGGAAAAAACGAAAAAATTCTCTTTAAGTTGATCTTTGTCGTACGCTTATTGAAAAATTCTTTCACAATCTTTAAACATATTTGCGTAATAACTTGCTAAAAGAATAAAGTTTGCAGATCATTTTGTACTTGTTGCAATATATTCAACAGATAATTTTGATAGGATAGCATTACTAAAGAAAGTATTCAAATTTAAATGAGTAATTAAATGAATACTGAAGTCTGTCCTTAATAACTCTGATATGTTAGTAGTTTAGGAATTCGGCGTGGATCATGGGAAATTTTTGTTTACATATTGCGTTATTTTTAGGACACTCATTTTACGGAAAATCCGTTAAAGGATTAACTCAACGGGAAATAATGGTGTAGTTTATAAATTGAAATCACGCTTGATGTGACATTTAATATATCTATTTTAATTTATTCAGCATTTTATACATACCTGCTTTACGTAAAATAAATAAATTAATATCTATTAGATATATACGGGATCCGTCCAAAATCCCGAAGCTCGGAATCTCGATGGTACAATATCCCGACATTCTAAATTCCGACACTCAAAATCCTGACAAAATCTTAATCCCAAAATGTCATATAATAATTATAATCCCGACACCCAATAATACTGATTTTCTTTCTAAATCATTTCGGTATTTTGAATTTCGAGCTTGGCTTAGATTATAACATTTCGGTATTTTGATTTTTCAGATTTTGATATCGGGATATTAATCTTATTATACCATCGGGATTCTGAGCTTCGGGATTTCGTACCAAACTCATATACTGTATACACAGTGAATTTCAGTTTATCTCTTTATCGGAACTATTAGTTCCAACAAAAAGAAATCTGATGTTTTTTGAGTCAATTAGGAGTCGGTTCTGCTCATTTTTTTATCTTGAAAAAAAAAAATATTAAAATATCTTTAACTCGTATAAAAAATTAAAATCTGTCGCTTCGAATCACGTGATTTGAATCATTGTCGATCCCTTTTTTTTTTATATTCCGTCTTTTTTCCGTAAAAGGCTCATATTTCCGGAATTAATAACCTTATATCCCAAATTTATCGAATTATTTACATCTTCCGTGAATGGGTCCGTGAAAGGCTCATTTTTACGGAGTTTTTACAGAAATAACGGATAAAATTTGTTATAGGGCTTAGGGACTGTAGTTGTTATAATTTTATTGAAGCGATCGGACGATCGGCATCATTCGGAAAATGTGATGCAATTACCGTACATCTAAAGAGCATGTACATATTCCGTCAACGGAAAAAGACATCTACAGTTTTGACGTGGAAAACTTACCAGCAAAGCTTTATCCGCTATTTCTATAAGTTAACCTGGTCGATTTCGGATCCAACTATTTGCATTGTTTGAAAAACTCAACATAATTCATTACGAAAATATTCAAAGAGATTCAAAAATCGTAAGGTATGATAAAAATAATTGACTATTTTTTAATTGTACAATTTTATATAATGTTACGTTTCATAAAATATTTTAATGTTTTACAAATATTTAACAAAAAAAAAATAATAATAATAATGTTTTTATTTAATATTTCTATTTACAACTTAATATGTTCAGTAATATAATTCGTAAAAAAAATTTATTGAGACCCTGAAAATGTAAAATTCCAATGAGACGCAACTCATAATTAGTAATCAGAAAACAGAATCACAATAAATTTTTGTTAATAGATTATCTGCGCACAATCAATATTTGTAATTGTTCATTTATAATATAATTCATATTACTTAAACGCTTATTTTTAGCAACTACGGTATATTGTAATAACAAAATAATTACACTACTTTAGGGTTTTTATTAAAATGTACTAAGTAATAATTGTAATTCATTTAGGTTTATCTCACCCTAATGCGGTATCTTATTTAGGATTGTGTCATTGGGTTCGATTTTTTTGGGAAGTAGATCCGTAGCATCATATGATTTACATGAATTCAACTCCGGCTAAAATTATAAAATTTGACCGGAATTATGACATCATGACAAATACTAATTATCCGAGGATTCTTAAATCTGGACATCGACCTTACGTTCGCATCAACACTCAATATTTTTCTTTCTTTTTTTTATCCCATTTTTTTTTAAAAAAATGATTTTGCATTTTTTATATGTCCTTAATTTTTTTTTTTTCTTCGTATAACAATTGTTTATTTAATTTTCATTAACACAATTTACTAAATAAAAATGAACTTTTTAAAAGAATTTTTAAAAATTTGATCTAGAAAAATCGTAATTGTGTCATAGATTAATATTTATAGTAATCATTCTAAAATAAGTTTTCAAGCGCCGTTATTTACCGCCCAAGTTAATGTTACACAATTGAAGCAACTAAATTTAGGAGCGGGGCCTAGAAAAATGTAACGATCTTTATTTACCATTTATGGAATAATGTACATGCAAAATTACACATATATTAATTTTTGTACGCATTTTACTTTCATTTACTTTTTAAAAAAAAATTACGGTAAAAAAAAATGACTAGAGGAAATTCGTTAGAAAATGATTTAAAATTATTAATTAATAATCCAAAATATAGTGATATTGAAATTTTATGTCAAGATGGAAAAAAAATTTATGGAATTAGATCAATCTTAGCCGCAAGATGTGAAGTATTAGATAAATTACTTTATAATGGAATGAAAGAAAGTTATGAAAGACAAATTACTTTTCCACAAATTGATTCTAATGAAATTAAATTAATTATAGAATATTTATATACTGGATCAATTGATGAAGAATCTTTTAATAAAGATAATATTATTGAAGCTTATTTAGCAGCAGATTATTTTCAATTAACAGAACTTCAAAAACTTCTTTTAGAATCTATTAAAATTATTTCAGAAAAAAAGAATTTATCCCCTGAATTATTATCAAAAACCGTTGTAAAATTACCTACTTTAGTAGATAATGAATTACTTAGTTTATTGACAGAATCTGTAGCATTGATTCCTTTAAATTCTATTGCAATTGGTAGATTATCTTTCTCAGCACTTCTTCATGTTTTATCATTTACGTACGAAAATGAAATATTATTTATGACATCAGAATACAATGTATTTAGATATAGTGTAATTATGGCAGCAAAAAAAGTATCTGATAATGCGGTAGAAATTATTGAAACGGTTTTACCAGATATAAACAAGGAAGATGTTACAACTCATAGTTATATGGAAATTGATGATTTTAATATTTATCGACAACAAATTATTGAAGAATTAAATCCTTTAATTAAGTATATTGATTTTAAACTTATTCATGGTAATGTTTTGGCTAATATTATTGAACCTTTAAACATTATTCCTATGCAAGTATTATATGATGCATTTAGATACCACGCAAAATCAAATTACAATAAATTAATTAGATTTAGAGGTTGTAATAAAGCTATCCTTGTTTGGGATGAGACAGCATGTGGGTCGAACCTTGTTATCAAAGATAATGGTTGCGTTGTTTGCGCTGCTAACTGTGTATATGGTTGTCAAACTGTGAGGTCTAAATTCGGTTTTAGCGATACTGGTATATACGAATGGAACATTATTATTGAAAAATATTGTGCCAATTCATGGATAGGAATTTGTGAAGCTGTTAATGTTGATTATGAAAAATGGGCAGGGGTTCAAGCAAATGCATGGGTTTTAGGATCAAATGGTAGTTGTTATAATAATTTTATAGAAACAATTGGTTATTGTCCACCATTTGGTGAGGGTGATATAATTACTGTACACTTAAATATGAATGAAAGGTCATGTGCATTTTCTATTAATGGGAGAAGATATCCGCCAGTTTCTGCATGGAAAAACTTACCAACAAAACTTTATCCTGTTGTTTCTTTATTTCGTCCCGGTCAATTTAGAATTCAACTACATTAAGCTAGGTATCTTTTGTTAATATTTAAAAGCAAAAAGTTTTTATTTTATTTTTTTGATAAGTTAATTGATAAATTAGAGATTAAAAATATTACTTTTTTTTTATTAACGAAAAAGTCCTTTAGAATAGTTTAAGTAGTATAAGGATTGAGTAAATCGTAGAAAACAAACAATTTTTTAAAGATCTTTTTACAAAATAAAATTATTTATTTGTAACGATAAATAAAATAAAAAATTTTGAAAATTTTTTTTATTTTTTTCTTACAAATTCTTCGCATCATGTAGTGGGCGTTTTTCTAAATTTATATTGTAAAAATACCGAATTTAATGTGTTACTTTGGTGTAATTAATTATACAGGGGAGTATAGATATCCCTCAAAGTGGCTAAATGGTGTAACTATCTAAGTAGCAAAATGCTTTCGTAAATTTAAATTTCGCAGGGATTTTCTTAGTTATGTTTTAAAAAAAAGGCTGGCGTGGAAAAGTACTTTATATCTTTTTTCAAAAAATTGAAAAATTAGACCCTTCTTTATATATTCTTAGACAGCTGTACAAATAACGCGATATTGTCAATCAACCCATTTGATTTCTTTAAAAGGTTATATTTTATATATTTTAAGGTTTTGAAAATTCTATCGAGGTTAACATGATATATTGATATTCCACAACGCCGATTTACTCGCAAAAAAGAATTTGGCGAAGAATCGTCCGAGAAGTAAATTTTGCGTCCGATAGGAACGCATTAAAGTCGAGGTACGAGAATTTTAAAACGTTTATTGGATGTGAGAACATTGTTTGCAATTACAGAAAATTTTCTTTAGACTTACACTAATTTTATTGTTGTAAAAACAAGTCTTAGCATCGTTTAAGAATCTTACTAATTTTTTTACAATATCATACAGTATATATAATAAAGCTACAATAGGTACTGTACGTAGGATAGCCATAAGGGAAAGTGATATGTGTAATGTTTGTGTCAATATTAATTCATAAAAATTTCGTATTTATTTCAAAAAAAAAAAATTTGAAAGCGATGTTATTTAAATACAACCATTTTCGTACTAATAAAAATTCTAAACCATAAATGGTTAATTACTCACCACATGCAATATTAAAAAAACCTTGACGCAATGTTAATAATCCCACGCCTCATCTCCAAATTCATACAAGCACCTTTTGCGTTCTTATCGACAGTGAAATAATAAGGTAGTTTCCATATAAGATAATTTAAGAATGTATATTTATATTGACTTCATGAAAGGATTGTATCTAGCTAGTATAAACTTTCGACAGTCTCTCGACGCAATTATAACTAAACTCGAGGAACGGATAACCCTCACCAATTATTTTTAAATACTGTACTAAAGTAAAAAGTAAAAATCAGTAAACTTAACAAAAAACAATACTACATAATACTACATATAATATCCGATAAACGTCCCCAATATTTTTGTTTGTTCATCGACAATTAACATCTCAATAGTTAAAAAGCATGTGATTTCCGATAACGAGAACTGATCAAAAAGTTACCACTTGTATATTTTCTTTTAATCTTACATTGCCCACCAAACGGTATTGATTTTGAGGTTGTAATATTATATGCTTCCTTGACAACAAAAATTCCCTTAATGCATTCCCATATTGCAAAATTCAAATTGGACGCCTAATATATTTTTGTAAAGCTAATAATCAAACATTTATAAGTGTAACCATTTAAAATCTTATTCATTTTTAATAAAAAAAAAAATGGATAATAATATTTCTACTTACTTACTTCATACATTTTATGTCCCAATTCAGACCTTGTTCACCATCCAAAAAAAAATAGATCAAATGTTGTAGCATAATTATTAAAAAGGGGTGTTGGGAGCTAGGGTTATTACCAACCTAACCATGAAGACTCCCTCAAAGTTAACGCTAGTTTAGAAAAATTATCCTTAAAAAGTTTGATATTTTTTCAGTATTTCATATACAGAACGCCAAATGGTTGAATACTCGATCAAAGTTAATACTGATATTCTCTTTTTTCATTTGCTTAAAGGAGTTGCTTAGAGGAGACCTACAATACCAAAAAAAGAATTTAGATATGAATAAATATCGAAATTATGTCATTCCATGTGATTTCTAATTTCTTTCGCATGAGTTATCGCACCATAATTCATAAGTAATTTTTTACGCATAATTATTTTCGTGTTGAGTAGTGTAACAGGATTACATATTTTTACGTAACGAATCAAAGCATCAAGTCAACATTGATAATTTTTATCATGGAAAACTTAAGTGATTACAAATGGTCATAAACCTTATTGGCTGAAATTGCATATAACGACCTATAATTCATACGTTCAGATGATCGATTCTATTCCTTTATTTTTTTAAAAAAAATTCTTATATATGCACAAAAGGACTTGAAGCATAAAGTAAGCTATATTTTAACAGTTATATCAATTATTTAATAAGCTTATTCTAGTTAATATTTAACTTGAAAATAAATATTCTTTAGTTTTTATCGCTTTTATCGCGTCGTGAGCTTTTCTTTGAAGAATATTTAGTCATCTTCGAGATTATTTAGTTAAGAAACAAACAACCTGGATTTGGAAAATTTTATCACGGATTGCAAGACTACTAGATTATTACTTGTGCAACCATTTATCACTTCGAAACTTCCCATATTAAAAATATTCTCCACGATGGGATGTTCAACAAATTCTTAATTTGAAGTATGAATAGCGATAGAATAATAAGAATTATGGAATTATGAAGCAATTGCTTCTTCTTACTTGTGGAGCTTTCTCCTACTGGGTATTTTGATAAAAATCGTCCTTATAAAATTATTATCATTTTTGATTACATTAATGACGAACTTGGGAAATTTTATTTCAAGGGTACCCTCCACGTGTTGGAAAGTCTTATTGAATCAAAAATTATTATAACAAACCGAGTTTATCGTTATCAGATGATGTTATGTACGGTGTGAAAAGTGAAACTACATGATTAAAACAAATAAACAGATTTATTATTTTTTGAATTAAACATATTATTACACTTTGATTAGACGAAGGATTTAAATTTGAAACAATTTTTTTATTTTGTTTCGTCACAATTTAAATTCTATTTAATGTTAGTTTATAAAATGGTTAATATTGGCGTTATCACGATATTTCTTAAGACGTAATGATATCGGTGATTCGTTCATCCGATAATCCTGGACTCGCTGGAATTTTGAAATCTACAATCCAAATATTTAATTAATTGTTACTCAAATATTATCTTGTAAGTTTTTATGTTTCAATTTAAAAATATAATGTATTAGTGTGATAAAGCAATAAAAAAACATCATTAACTTTTGCGAGCATCTCTAAATACAATTTTTCCTTTATTAATTATTATTTGCATTTGTTTTGATAATATTATACTTTAAAGTATGTAATTCATCATTTATGATATTTCAACTCTACTGATTAATTATCATTAACGATGTGAAATATTTCTTCTTTTTGAAGCAGAAGAATAATCGTCTAAATTATCAGACGATATATCATCATCCTCCTCATCATCAGCTATTCTACGTTTCTTTGCATTACTATCACCCACTTTTTTTGATGCATCATTAAAAATAACAACCCTGGGAGAACTAGTTGATGATATAGGTGAAGCCTTGATTGAAGTGATTGAAGTGATTGAAGTGAATTTATGTAATAAGGGCATCCCCAATTCATTAACTAAAATATAAATATATTTAAACATTTCTTCAACAAATTTTTCCCATTTAAATTCTTTCATCAACTTATCCGCATCTTCAGGAGAACGTTTAATAATATTACGAACTTTAATATAATTTTCCTTATAATTTGATGGACCTTCAACCATAATCTTTGGAAACATATTTCTATATAAATTCTTTTGTGGATTTTTATTAAGTTTCGAAATATATAATTGTACTCTAAGATTAAGATATAAATCCCAGACCTTCCCGTGTTTCATCAAAGTTGGTGGTACGATGTAATTAAAGAAAGAATTGATATCTACTTTTTGAAGATCCGGTAAAGTTGGATCAAGGTTTGTAAATAATAAATTTAAAAAATGTGTTATATTTGAATGTATGATCAATTTAAATACTTCATTTTTGTTTGATATTTCAAATTTGTTAATATCTATAAAATCAGAAGATTTTAATAAAGATTTTTTGACTTCAAAAAAGCACATATATTTTTTTATTGCAATCCGTTTTAAATGAAGAATATTGGAAGGGTCTTGATTTTGGGGTTTCTCTTCAAAATATTTAACTTGTGCTGTTAAAGATTCATAAGCTAAAGTATCCAAGATATGTAAATATCTTAATAACTCATCACCTTTAGCGATATTATCGGTAACAAATTTATACTTTGGCGATTCCGCTGCCATCACGTAAATGACGAAAAGAAAAAGAAGAAAAGGTCTATTTTTTTAAAAAAATTTATAATTTTGGGTTAATGATAAAGAAAAAAAAAAATTTCTTTGTATCGTAGAAAAAAAAATGAACTACGAGGATTTTTATAGTTTCAAAACACGTGTTGCCGCGTGATGTAGACATGCAAATTTTGTACTTGCTTATTCAGCAAAGTTATAAACAAAAAAAAAAAAAAATTAGATACTTTACTGTGCAATGTGCATACTAATTATTTATTTCGTCGATCCGATATAAGTAAATTGTTCAGACAGATAATCATCTCATCAATAAAATAAGCTATTGATCATAACATCGGAAAAAGTTAGCGATATCGCTTAAATCCAAATTGAATAAATGTTTGTAATATATAACCTTTACCATTTACGGGGACGATCATAAGGTTATGTCATTAAACTTGGAAATAAATTAAACTCTGGGAAAAAAATCTTATTATTAGAATTTATTAAAAATTAAATTACATTAAAAAAATTAATAGCGAATCTCTCTAAACAATATAAGGTCGATAAGATTGTTGCAAAAAAAAAAAAAATCAAGCCATACGATAATTACGATATACAATTAACTTGATCGAAATATATGGATAATTCAGCATATGATTAACCGATGAGACAGAGGTAGAAAAGGAAAAAGGTTAAGTTAATAAAAGAACCAAGTAATTTAAATATTAGCTTTCTCAGAACTATCCAATCTCAATAAATGCAAGACAATTAGATACAATTATTTTTCGTCTCGACAATTTAATTATCACGTGCTATTGCAGTAAAATCTTGTGAATTCCACATAACACATGAAGTTGTTTAAAACAGGCAAGTTTCCGTCCGGACGATCAGAACCTTGGCCAAATAAATATAATAACGACCCACACTTTTGTTAAGGCTTGGCATTTTCTCATTTTTCTGAAAATACGAAAGTTATGATGGATGATAAAAATTTAAATTTTAAACAACAAAGAATATTATGACATTACTATTGAAATTAGTAATGGTCTATATGTAAAAGTGTTTTGTATTTATATGGTATTTTAAATTATATCGTTCTCCTTATTTGCGAAGAATTTTATAAGAGAAGTGGCATATATTTAAATTGCCAGATATTTTACCTGCAACTTTTCAAATAATTGATTTTTAAAGGTACGAAAATAGTAAATTACCTATATTATCTTTTTATATTGAATATAAAATATTTAATCATTTTTTTTTCACAAAAATATTTTCATTTTAGGTAAATTTATAATGGGTCTTTCATTGGAGGAATACGCTATTTCGGATATTATATTCTCCGCCAATAAACTTGGTCTTTAAGAAATAATCACATCATCGATTTCAAGTTCATCATTTCGTTCTCAACGATTAGGCCGTTCCAAAACTTTTCAGAAAATCTGGACGTTAAACAAACAATTGTAATCGCAACATAATCCTTTTATTTGAAAATAAAAATTTGGACGGAACAAAATTTTAATGGATATATAAGGTATATAAGACAAGTTTGAAGATGAATCTTTCTTGAAATTACAAATTTTGATATAGAATTATTTTCCAACGAACCAGAAAAAATTTAAATTAATCGTTTTTAATTCAATTACAGAAAAAAGCTTTGATTCACCTTATTTGATGATATTCAAGTTTAGGAACAAGTTCTTAAATGGGGTATCGTTCAGAAAAAATTTCATTCACGTCTCAAACTACAAAATTTCTTTCTTACATTATTACAAATTCCATTTTTCTTTTTTTTTTTTAAAAAAAAAAAATCAAAAATCAAATATGAACATTTATACAAAAATTCACTTTTTCTTCATAATATGTGGTTAATTAATATTTTCTTTTCGTAATACATCCTTCAGAATTTTACATACGTCTCATTTAGACAAAATAGTCCTTATTATCATCATATCATATTAAAGTAATATATAACTCAGTACAATTTTGTTATTTGGTTATTTTTGACGATAATCCACGCTATTACCCAAAATTTTATTATCAATGAATTCCTTTTTGTTGGGTTATCTATTTGATTTATTTAATGGTTCTTCTTTTTATCAAGTACTTTTTTTATTCATTTTATATCATGCACTTTTATCTCACGCTTATGCTTATTGATGCACCAATCATGTTCAACAACAGATTATTATTCCTATACTACATGTAATTCCCCCTCTACCGTTGGTTTCATATAGAGATCCTTCAAGATATCCAAAAGATGATTTCAATGCTTTAAAGAATACTTTACACAATATATTCCCCTTATATTAGATTTTATAATTTGACGTATAAAAAAAAAATAATTAAACAATTCGTGATAATTTATTTAGATCATGATTATATACAAATAACAAGCCAGAACAGAAGGCGACTAAAGAAATTGGATCAAAAGCTATTGATTCAAGGATTCATTACATTTCAACATTGCTGAATTAATCTCAAAATGGATTGATGGATTAGAAATTACTGACAAGACACGCGAATTCAAAATTAATTCTTCGTGGATATCGCGATAGTTTTTCATGTGAAAAGGAAGATATATTCCACGATATGGTCTCTGATAATAATTCTAACGCTACGAAAGATAGTCTTTATTCCTTTAAGGATTAAAACTATATTTTAAGTCGAATTAAGGTGGAAGAATATGCCATAATAATTTTCCTTAGTTCCAAATTCTACAATTAGAGTTATTGTATGAATACGAAAAAGATTCTTAATTATGAAATGAAGTCCACAAATACATCTTCAATGGCAATTAATTAGGCGTCCGTATCATTGCTCAGAGCTCCGAATATATTTTGGGTGCAGTTTATGTGTTTGGGTCCGTCATCGTAGAATCATATATTAATCGATTACCTTTGGAATACGGTAAATTAGTGAATTCTTCATTTTGTGTATTAAAATCTTTGATGATACGTGAGAATATTTATTTATTCAACTTAAAAATGCCTATTAAGTAAGTTAGATATTTAAATCAGGTAGCTGTATCAATTGACCTAAAAGGTTATATGAATTAAAATATTTCATACTACTCATTGATTTTCTGAAAAGATTTTTTTTTTTTTTTTTTTTTAAGAAGGAAAGAGAAAGTTTGTTGGAGTAGCGAAGAGGATATAGATTAGGAAATTTTTTTATTTTTACTTATTTCTAAAAGAAATTGTTTTTTTACAAATAGTTCAAATAAAGAATTACATAATTTTCTTAATATGCTATAGAATTATTTTTGCCAATGATATCATGATGATTCAACAAATAAAAACACGTGACTTTGATAAGAACTTATCCAAATAACCAAATAAGTAGTACAATACAAACGTATCCTGTTATTATATAAAGGGCTGGACAATTCAGTCAATTCACACATTTTCTCATTTCTTCTGAAATGGAAGATTATAGATTTTTACCAAATTTATCTCAAAATTTGCTTACAATATTAAATGATGATGAATACTACGATGTTACTATTGAAGTCGGTAAAGATCCTTACGTAAAAGTATTTCGTGCTCACATGGTCATCTTAACTTATCGCTCTCCTTATTTACGAAGAATTCTATCAACAAATGTAAAAAAAAATGATGGAACTTTGGCGCATATTAAATTACCAAATATTTCACCTGAAACTTTTCAAATAATCTTAAGGTACAATATATCAAATTGTTAATATTTTTTTTTTTCTTTTTATTTGAATAAAAAATACTTAAAATATTTTTATATTAGATATATTTATGGAGGAAGACTTTCATTGAAAGAATATGATGTTTCAGATATTATTAAAATCTTAATCGTCGCCAATGAACTTAATCTTCAGGAAATAGTCACTTATTTACAATCCTTTTTGATTGTAAATAAAAAAAATTGGATGGAACAAAACTTTAATTTGATATATAAGACGAGTTTTGAAAATGAATCTTTATTGAAATTACAAAATTTTTGTACAGAATTAATAACTAAAGAACCAAGTAAAATTTTTAAATCAATTGATTTTAATTCAATTTCAGAAAAAACTTTAATTTCCCTTATTCGACATGAAAATCTTAAAATGAGTAATGTTCAAGTTTGGGAACATGTTCTTAAATGGGGTATCGCTCAAAATCCAGAACTTTCTTCGGATCCTTCAAGTTACTCGAAAAATGATTTCAATGCCTTAAAAAATACTTTACAGCAATGTATTCCTTTTATTAAATTCTATAATTTAACTTCTAGAGAGTTTTTAAATAAAGTATATCCATATAGAAAAATTATACCTAAAGATTTACTTGATAAATTATTCAGATATTTTTTAGATCATGAACATAAGCCAAATAATAAGCCAGAACAGAAGGTTGCTAAAGAAATCAGCTCAAAAGCCATTGATTCAAGGTTTTTAGATCATGAACATAAGTATAATAAGCCAGAACAGAAGGTTACTAAAGAAATTAGCTCAAAACCCATTGATTCAAGGATCATTACATTTCAACATGTTGAAATAATTTCGAAATGGATTGATAAATTAGATATTACAGATAATATAAAAAATTCATATGAGTTCAAATTAATTCTTCGTGGATCTCGTGATGGCTTTTTGCCTAGAAAATTTCATGAGATTTGTGATAATCAATCTCATACAATATCAATCATTAAAGTACAAGGTAGTAACGAAATTCTTGGAGGGTATAATCCGAACATATGGGTTTCCAATTGGTGTCATATCGCTGAAAAAGATAGTTTCATATTCTCCTTTAAGAATAAGAATAGTATTGAAAACTATATTTTAAGTCGAGTAAAGGACGAACAATATGCTATATTTAATAATCCTAATCACGGTCCATCATTTGGCAGTGGCCTTGTTTTGTTCGGAAACGATTTTTTCAATATGAGTTATTGTAAGAATATGAAGAAGTATCCTAATTATGAAAAGTCAATTAGAGAAACTGAAAAAACTTTTTCAGTAGAAGAATATGAGATATTTCAAATCACGAAGAATTGAATTGATTTGATTTTAAAGATTGAGTTATTTGGTTAGATGAAACACACGTATTTTATTTTAAAAAGTTATGATATATTAACTCGATAAAGTATTATTTTAAACTTTTAATAGTTTCGTTAGAAATTATTTTGGATGTAATTTTGAATTTTATGTATAATTGGCACAAATATTTTAAATAAATATATTTTTTGATTAATTATGTATAATGAGTGCTGATTTAAAAATATATAAATATACTGTATATTTCGCGAGTAAAATAAGCAAAGCACATGAAGCAGTGATTTTTGTAGTGCGGTCATGTGTGCGCTTACACATTTCCGCACATATGTATAATGTATGATCGTAGCATTGTTAATAACGTAAAAAAAAGGCGATGGGATTAAAGATAATCCATAGGAAGACCGTATGCCAAATCCGAGAAGATAGATGCCTACCAGTTTAAGAACTTGCCTATTAAGTAAGTTAGATATTTTCGTATAGTCTTTCTTTTGACAAAACACGCTACAGTAATACCTTTTTTGGCATCTTGAACAATATTTAGTTGTAGGTAAATCAGGTAGCTGTATCAATTGACCTAAAAGGTTATATGAATTAGGATATTTCATACTAGTCGTTAATTTTCTGAAAATATATATATATTTTTTTTAAGAAGGAAGTTTGTTGGAGTAGCGAAGAGATATAGATTAGGATTATGTAAAAAAATTTTCTTTTTTTACTTATTTCTAATCTAACCTTAAATGATTGAAATGGTTTTTTTACAAACAATAGTTCAAATAAAGAATTACATAATTTTCTTAATGTGCTATAGAAATCATTTTTTGTCAATGTTATCATGATTTGTAATTCCGGCCGATATTACATCAACCAATAAAAGCACGTGGCTTTGATCAGAACTTACCCAAATAAGTCAGTATCCTATTATTATATAAGGCCCAATTCCCGCGTTTCTTCATTTCTTCTGAAAAAAACAAAATAATGGAAGATTATAAATTTTTACCAAATTTGTCTCGAAATTTACTTAAAATATTAAATGATGATGAATATTATGATGTTACTGTTGAAGTCGGTAAAGATCCTTACGTAAAAGTATTTCGTGCTCATATGGTCATCTTAATTTATCGCTCTCCTTATTTACGAAGAATTTTATCAACAAATGTAAAAAAAAATGATGGAACTTTGGTACATATTAAATTACCAAATATTTCACCTGAAATTTTTCAAATAATCTTAAATCAAATTGTTAGCCTGATGATTTTATTTATAGCTTAATTTTAAAACATATTGGAAAACGCGTTTACTAATCCAACATGGTATGACCTGGGCATCATCACCATCAGAGTTAACGAATTCCTGTATTTTATAAACATCATAAATAATAGTATATTAAATGATTCGCTGACTTGCCACCAAATTTGTTGTATAGAGTTTTCAAACCACTCATTTTGTTGGGATGATCTTTTGCAATTGAAAGACCTCATCTCCATTCCGCAATATCTTGTGAGCAATATACTCAAATGAGGTCCCCAAGAGTGGACTGCCTATGCCTGTTTAGTTTGTTCAAGAAGTCTTTCTCTTATTCGCTCTTCAAGTTGGTCAGTTACTTGTTCCTTCACATAATCAGAAGCAAATTTTATAGTTACTATCGTATAAGGAATTTTGCCATTTTCATCTTTGTTGTCATTTTCAACTGGGTGATTCACATTGATATGAACGATCATGTGACTAAATTTGGATCTTTCTATGCAACTTCACCAATATCATCAAAAATATCCCCTTTACTACCCTTAATTGCTTCATTGTGGTGAGTTACATCATTAGCCCTTTCTAAGACATATCGAGGGATTCCTCCCCACTTCCCACTTTGAATATAGATCCTTAGCTAATTCCGGGGTTACTCTATCTTCATAGAGTACTTGCCTACAACTTTTGATCTCTTTCCAACTCCATGTTGGCATATAGCGTATCCACTATACTCATCAAGTGTTTATAATGTTCCCTTCTGGATGAACAAATTAGAATTGTTTTAGCATTAACATTCTTCAATTAGGTTCCTTACCATCTACTATATACCAACATCTTTGTTTTGCAGATATATTTTTATGCTAATGCTGTAACTAGTAAAGGCTCCTTTTTCTCCTTCAAAGACGATTGGATCAGTTTCATTATAGTTATCATATACAACAGTTGCATCTTGTAGTGCAAGTTGATAAAGTAAATAATATCCGAAAAAGGTTTTTCCGATGCTCGGATTTCCAGTTATGCGCAGTTTGTTTATTGACTCATCAAAGACGACACTTAGCAAATCACGATAACATTTACGGATTTCAGAGCGGAAACTTCATAATCTTTTCCCAGAAATCGGGTAGAGTTGGTTAGTTTAAGATATTTTTATGAGATGCGTTCTTTAAAGATCGCCAAAATTTATTCAATTCTTCATCATCTAATTTTAAGCGCTTACTAGGAGGATCTGTATAATAAAATAAATAAATATGAGGCGCAAGGAACGAAATAACATAGAGTATGACACCACGCAGGTGAGAATGAAAATGGTCATCGCGTTGATCAAAAATTTATTACGGTTCACTTACCAGCAACGGTTTGCTCTACGATAACGCGAATGTGTTTTTTGGGCGGGTTGACGATAAGAAGCAGGAAAGAAAAGCACAAGAATAAGTAAGTATTCGGTATTATTGGCAAATATGACAGAGAAAGATGAAAATCATGCTATAAAACATTGACTAAATTTATTACGACTCACCATTAATGGGAGTTTTTGTTAACAACTTGAATATTTCGTTCTTTGATGCCAAAAAAAGTATTTGCAATAGTACTTCTTTCATCTTCTAATTCATTATCATCATTTAACATTTCCTCTGAAATATCACTAATTGAAGCGACATTAATCACTCCACAACCTAAGTTTGTCGGCATCAACCCCAGCAGTATCATTTGGCTTTTTACTTTTAATAGCTTTTTTAAGGTCGTCAATATCATTATTCGTTCCAATTTTAACTTTGAAAATTGAACTGCTTCCTTGCACAAAGCACCAAAGTGTAATACGTGTACCATCGATAGACATTTTTATGGTTATTTTGTATCACAACGATAAATGAGGAAAGAAAAAGATTTTTTTTCGAATTGGGGAATAATTTAGTTTTATATAGGGATCTGATCAGTGACACAATCAATTTATGGGCGCAGTAGTCGCGAATTCAGTCATATGATTTTTATTCGAAACCTTATTGGAAGAAGTGTGACATTAAATGTCAGCTAACAAAAAAAAAAGACGTCAAGCTTGTCAATGTAAAGTTAGTCATCAAGACTATAAATAGGACACTAGTTATTTGGAATATTACTCCGCAATAAAATTACATGATCAAATATTTTTTACGCTACAATTGCGAACTTGAGTTTATTGCTTGAAGTGTTTAAGACAATATTCCAACTTATCTTGGGAATACAATTTCGCTAATTGGTACCATGAGCCATGTAATCCATAATTTCCATGTTTTCCATGAATGCTGGCTGATATTAAGTTTGGCCAGAATTTGTGAATCGTAATGTTGGCCAACCTTGCATAATTCTGGTCAAATCACAGAATTTCACGAATTCATCCGCAGAAAATGAATCTCGCCAGTAAAATCATGTGATAATTACCAAATAAGTATAATGTAACGTATCCTATGTACATAAGGATGTCAAATTCCGCCTTTTTGCATTTTCTCATTTTTCTCTTAAAATACGAAACTTGGTCATTAATGGATGATAATAAATTTTTACCAAAATTATCTCAAAATTTTCTTGAGTTATTAAATGATGATGAATATTATGATATTACTATTGAAGTTGGTAATGATCCTTACGTAAAAGTATTTCGTGCTCATATAGCCATTTTAAATTATCGCTCTCCTTATTTACGAAGAATTTTATCAACAAATAAAAAGAAAAATGATGGAATTTTGACACATATTAAATTACCAAATATTTTACCTGAAATTTTTCAAATAATCTTAAGGTATGAATAAATATTTTTATTTTTATTTTTTTTTTAAAAAGAAAAGAATAGAATAAAATATTAAATATTTCATTTTAGATATATTTATGGAGGAAGACTTTCATTGAAAGAATATAATGTTACAGATATTATTAAAATCTTGATCGCTGCCAATGAACTTAGTCTTCAAGAAATAATCATTCATTTACAATCATTTTTAATTGAAAACAAAAAAAATTGGTTAGAACAAAATTTTAACTTGATATATGGGACGAGTTTTGAAAATGAATCTTTCTTGGAATTACAAAATTTTTGTACAGAATTAATAACTAAAGAACCGAATAAAATTTTTAAATCAATTGATTTTAATTCAATTTCAGAAAAAACTTTAATTTCCCTTATTCGACATGAAAATCTTAAAATAAGTGATGTTCAAGTTTGGGAACATGTTCTTGTATGGGGTATCGCTCAAAATCCAGAACTTTCTTCGGATCCGGATCCTTCAAGTTACTCAAAAAATGATTTCAATTCTTTAAAAAATACTTTACAACAATGTATTCCTTTTATTAAATTCTATAATTTAACTTCTAGAGAATTTTTAAATAAAGTATATCCATATAGAAAAATTATACCTAAAGATTTACTTGATAATTTATTCAAATATTTCTTAGATCATGATTACGAGCCAAATGGTAAGTTGAAACCGAATATTACTAAAGAAGTTAATTCAAAAACCATTGATTCAAGAATTATTACATCTCAACATGTTGAATTAATCTCTAAATGGATTGATAAATTAGAAATCACAGACGATATAAAAAATTCATATGAATTCAAATTAATTCTTCGTGGATCTCGCGATGGGTTTTTATCTAGTAAATTTCATGAGATTTGTGATTATCAATCTCATACTATATCAATTATTAAAGTAAAAGATAGTAATGAAATTCTTGGAGGATATAATCCAATCATTTGGAAATCTGATCGTAGTTTTGGTATTACCGAAGACAGTTTTATGTTTTCTTTTAAGGATAAGAATAGTATTGAAAATTATATTTTAAGTCGAGTAAAAGATAAACGATATGCTATATATAATTATCCTAGTCACGGTCCAGCATTTGGTTGTGGCCTTGTTTTGTCCGGAAACAATTTTTACAATTCGAGTTATTGTAGGAATATGAAAAACAAGTATCCTAATTATGAAAAGTCAATTAGAGAAACTGAATATTTTTCAGTAGAAGAATATGAAATATTTCAAATTACGAAAGATTGATTTAATATTTTAAAGATCAAATATTATTCGGTTACATTAGTTGGAATGAAAACAAAATTTTTACTCTATTTAGTTTATCTAGTGTTGTTTTTTGAAGTTGCTATTTAACATTTAGACAATAGTTTTGTTGGAAAGTATAATTTTCGTAATGATACAGTATATTAATCTATCGTTTTTCGACTAAATATAATTTTATGTTTTAAAGTAACATCACGTGAGAGCTTTGAAGCATATTTACAATTTTTTTTTTACAAATACTTCAAATAAAGAATATTAACGCAATTGTAATATTTCTTAAGATTGTTATGGATTTTGAATTTTCGGGATTATGCTTGTGAACGTCGGGCTTGTATTATGACAGGATTCTGAGTTCCTACGCTTACTATGGAATTAAATCGGTGAAATTTCATACGGATATATTAAATCCAAATAAGATTTGATCCAATTCCTTTTGTGGATATATTAATATTGTATTTTCGAATGAAATTTTTTAAAAATAATGAAATATTTTTGAAACAAATACCTATTATTAATTTTATAATAATTATTCTTGTAAGTTGACTAGTATTATGGCTACTGGCATGCGTTGTGACAATGTTAAACTTGATTACGTAAATATCTGTTGTGGTCAGATATCGGGTAATAAATAATATTTCTAAGATTAAAATAATACTCGTTATATTTGTGTCATAAATTCGTAATTGCTTTTTATTTATTAACATCTTGGAGTTTGCTATTATTATTTTATGTTATTTATTAAAAAATTTACATATTAAATTTTATTAGAGAAAGGTAAATAACGATATTAAATTCCATGGATTATAAAAAAAAATTTTTTTTTTTTATCGGACTCCAAGCCAAAAGTGGATATTTTTTTTAACCGATGATGTTTTGCTGCTATTTTTGCGACGCTATTTTTACGGTGATAATCCACCGCAAAAAAAAAACGATATTATATATAACTTGGGTAGTACGCTCTATTTTTACAATTACGGAGGTAACGTCTATATTAGTTAAAATTAAAAAAAAAAATTCTCGAAAGTAACACCTCTTTCAAATATATAGCGATACGTTTGACCGGAGTTCTTTATAATTTAAGGATTATAGCTATTACTGTATCTGGATTAAGATGGTAATCCAAAAATGTGGTTTTCTGCATACAATATAACATTTAACAGGAGCTTTATTTGTAAACCTTCATCACTCTTACCTAATCAATATACTATACTCCTCAGTTGGAATTTTATTATTACGACTTGTTATAGAATCAGTCGAAACAAATATTGAAGTAAACTTTAATATTCAAAATAAACTAATAATGCATAATGTAATTTTCGATATTTTCATATCACAAATTCATTATTACGCATAAAATTTCCCGTATTACTAAATCATCGAAATTCCATTCCTAATATATGTTGTTTATCGTTAGTAATAATTTTACGGAATTTACAAATCCATTCTTTCTACCGATACTATTACTATTAGTCTATTACTAAACATTTTTTAGAATTTAATATTTCCGAAAAAATAACAACATATGCATATCTTTTGATTTTCATCGGCATCAAGTATAAAATGGGTCCATTTTAGTACATATTTATCGGAATTTGGACTATCAATATAAGCAAATCATGTAAATTTGAAAGTTATTATAAATTCACTTTTTAAGGGCAGATTTACAAAGATTTTGTAATTGTACACCCTCTTTAAAAATATAGTTGACGCATTCACCTTTTTTTTCATCTCTTTTTTTTCCTTTTCTTTTTTCGTCCTTCGTTTAAATAGAATATTAAAATAAAAGCCATGACTTGTTTAACATTTAATATAATAATTTATTATTTATTATATATCTTTAGTTTGAGTTATGTTGAGTCGTTCACTCCTGCAGCACGTGCAGTACATTCTTCTGTTTTTATAGAGAGTAATAATAGACTTTACTTTCTTGGCGGAGAAATAAATGGTAATATACCGGTTAATGAGGTTTTTTATCTAGATGTATCTAAAAATTTTGATACTGTATCTCCACCATGGACCGATCTTACGCCAGCTGCAGCGATTCCTTTTCGAAGTTCATGGGCAGGAGTTTCAGATATAAGCATTAATGGTGATTCAATAATAAGTCTATTTGGCGGTTATATGCTTGATAATAATATAGATCAAGATTCCTTCACATCAAATTTATATACATTTAATGTCACATCTCAACAATGGAGTATACCTCAAATTCAAGGAAACTCACCTAAAAGACGAAGAAATATGAAATCTGTTATCGATGATTCGGGAATTATATATATATTTGGTGGTTATTTCGTTGTACCTACAACACCACAAGAAATTATGTTTAATGATATGATTAAAATCGATATAAATACTTTTTCTTTATCATTCGGTTCAACACAAAATGGTCCTACTCGACGTTGTGCTTATACCGCAACTTTATTACCGAAGGGTATTATTGTATATATTGGAGGGTATGAAGAGGATGGTAATTCTATAGTAGATATTAATGAGGTTTTTCTTTATAATACAAAACTTGATGCTTGGTCTTTGATGGCAAGTTAATAATTATTCATGTTTTGCTTTTGAAATTTATTCTAAAATCTAACAAAATTATATTTTTATATATATATAGAATGCAAATAATATAAATTCAATTGAATCTCGTTATTTACATAGTGCTGTATTAGGTATGAATTTTGATAATATATTCATCTATTCACTCGCTTATGGAAATATAATAATTTATATTTTTCTTTCATGACTTATTTTTAGCGCCTGATGGTAAGATAATAGTTTACGGTGGATTGAAAGATGCGTTAGGGGAAGAAACTATGAAAGTTGTACCAGATTTGGCAGTTTTAGATACAAATACTTTTCCTTTTGAATGGAATGTACCACAAGTAACATCAAATGTTGGTAGTATACCTTCGCTTGCATGTCATTCAGCTGATATAGTTGGAGATAATATGATTGTAGCATTTGGTATGTCATTATTTATTTAATAATATTATGAATATCTATATTCATGTATTTCGAAAACTTAAATTTATTTCAAATATTTTTTAGGAAATATTACACGGTCTAATGCTCCTTCTGTTGAACTTAATCCTAAAATTTATTTACTGAATGTAATGAATTATACTTGGGTTAATACATTTGATCCTAAGCAACAATCAACAGATAATAATATTGATACAACACAACAGGATAAAATTGCCAAAATTAAAACTGAAATTGGAATAATATGTGGAGTTATAGGTTCGGTAGTAATAATTGTAATAATATTCTTTATTAATAAATGGAAGAAAAGAGATAAGGTAACTCTTAGAATCCCCGGTGAGGAAACTCTTAGAATTCCTAGTGAAAAACGGTTATAATATGCGTATAACAACACAATCTTCGGATCGTAAAAATTTTTTAAAAAAAAGACTTTTTTTAATAACATTTTTATATATTTTCATAAAAGCAATCTTATTTAAACTAGAAAAATTATATATATATATTTTCAATAAAACAAGAAACTAATTATGCTTGTACAATTTTATCAACATAATAAGCAAGAGACTCAATTGTATCTCTTTTGAATTTATTTAATCGTCAATTAACTGTATATGTAAGATGAAAGATATTATCGAAAGAGTTATGCCTTCCGATTACATTCTTTGAAATCGTCGATTATTATTATATCAGCCCTGAAACAAAAATTTCTAATACATAATCATATTGGTGGTCGAGAATCGCAAATTACTGTAATGTATACCCTATAAAAACGAAATGAGTTAAATTTGTTTAATATTTGTGCTCATGTGTAATAAATGTCTAAAAAAGCACCATTTTGTTTAATTTTTGTTTTTTTTTGTAATAAGACATAAATCGGACAAAATGGTGCTTTTTTGGACGTTTTTTACACATGAACACAAATTTAACACATTTCATTTTTATTATATGTTACGCGTTAATCATCACACTTATTTATATTTTTACATGATATTATATAACAGTCCATCCATTATATTGTTACTGCGCCTACGGGAGCTTCTATAAATAATATAATAATCACAAAAACTGTTGTATTGATGCAATTTTGAATTTTCATTGTGACAAATATAACCATAATAAACAAATATGACGATTTGTTTGTCCTTAGCCAATTTTGTCGCGCTAACAAAAATCCAGGAACCGAAAGTCCGAGTAAAAAATTAAAAAATGTTCATTTAACGTGCCAAAAAATTTAGACATGTCTTATTAAATTCTAATCCTTTATTATTATTATTCTAACCCTATAAACGAAAAAAAGAAATGGGTTCAGAAATTACATTGATCGGATCCTGTATATTCGGGAATTTGTTGGTATTAAATTTTTGACAGCTATATGGAGCAGCTGACAGGGTGTGGATTATGCTAAGGGTGCTTATGTTACGTAATTATTAAAAATCTTACGTTATATCAATAAAATCACATGATTTATAAATATTATAATAAACTGAATATTACGTAATGGACAAATTTATCCTGAACCGGGGTCCAGGTTCTTTATCCTAAACCCCCTATATAAATAAGTTTTTTCAGGGTGATTAATACAGTTGCGGTCTATGATAAGAACCTGAACCCCGGTCTATTTTAAGGACACTCTTACGTAACATGTGTAAGCCGTTTTTTTAATATTAAATTTTGAGGTGATGATAAAAATAGTAAACTATTTTTATCAAAGATTCGGGTCTGCGGGATTACTAGCACCCGAAATAATCGTCCGGGTGGTCCGGACTACCATTTTTTTCATGGGTTATTACTTATTAGGCTACTTCGAGTCAATTAATCAATGGACCAACAGTTTTGGTGGTTACATCAACAAATCAAACATGTGATCAAAAATGCCGATCAATCAATTTTGATACCTGAATAGTCATCGAAGTCGAGCTTGATCAACCATCGATCTAGCTATAATAAAATTGAATTGACTGTGAATAGCTGGATATAACTAATACAGTTGAATCAATTGAAATTATAAAATTTACGACTAAATTTCTTGCAATTATATAATTTTTTTTTAATGGATTGATATTTATTTTCTGAGTAATTATTGTTTTATTAATGTTTCAAAAAATGTCTTATTAATTAAATAAATTTAAAAACATAATTCAAAAAAAATTCAATCGAATTTGTGTGATAAACAAATAGTTAACACATCCCAGATTTGGAATAACTTGAAAACTGTCAAATGTTATACCTCCGTAAATGGTACTGCAATTTACATGGTTCTACATTACTATAAATATCTCGTATAGTCGTTTAGGGATAGACCAACATTATACATAAGGAAAATATTACGGTGGATAGGAATTGTTGTATTGTCTGTATTGTTTGGTAACTAATTGATTCCAAAAATAGTCTAATCATGAAAAAATATTTTATAAATCCAACTTTCTAAATAAAGAAATTCATGTCTTTTTTGTTTTGTTTTATTTTATTTTATTTTATTTTTTTCTGATTCTAGACACAAAAGTCTTTTGTAATTAAATAATGTCTTATACCACATTTTATTTGTGTTTAATTTTTGGGTTAGGATACATATTCTTTGGAGTTGAATCATATGTTCCTGTAGGACGTATAAGTCATTCCTCTATACTTATTGGAAATAAGATATATTATTTTGGTGGAATAACAGACGTAGGAGCATCAGATGATGCATTTTATCTTGATTTATCTCAATCATTTGATGTAGTAAACCCACCATGGACTCAAATACCTAATATTCCGTTTAGAAGTTCATGGGCGTCTGTTGCATCAGATAATTCTAATAATGCAGATATATATCTCTTTGGAGGAATAATGTTTGATGTAAATATACAAAAAGATTCATTTAAATCATTTGTATATAAATTTAATATTAATTCATTATCATGGAATATACCTACTGTTAGTGGTACTGCTCCCTCAAGACGAATAGAAATGAAAGCTATTAGTGATAATTCAGGAAAAATTTATATTTTTGGTGGAGCTGCTAATTCTTTAGTAGGTGCACAAACCAGAACGTTTTTTAGCGATATGATAACTTTTGATATCGCTGATTCATCATGGTCAATTAATACTGCGGTTAATGGACGTGCTACATATTCAGCGACATTATTATCAAATGGTATTATTGTGTATGTAGGAGGACTTGAACCCTTTAATGGAAATAACGATGTAGTCCTAATAGCAGATATTTCAAAAATTCTTCTTTTTGATACAAATTCTTTAACATGGTCAACGAAAGTATGTATTGATATTAACTAATTACTACTATACTATAGTACTAGTATTACTGCTACTATTATTGTTTTCTTTCTATTAAACAAATATCTTCAAATTTTTAGTCAGCGATAATTAAAGCTTCAGTCCTAGTCGAAAGTCGTCATGCGCATTCAGCAGTATTAGGTAAAAAAAAATGATAATAAATGTTATTATTATTTTATAATACGCTTTGAAAAAAACTCCTTTTTAAACATGTATTTTTTTTTTAAAAAAAAAAAAAAAATTTAAAAGCTCCAAATGATCAAATTATTATTTATGGAGGTACTCGTAGTACCGTCAATGATGTTGACTTTAATCAAGCATCTCCAGATGTGTTAGTTTTAGATACAAAAAAAGATTTATTTGAAATAACAGCACCGAATGTATCTACAAATATTGGCAAATTTCCAACACTTACGGCTCATACAGCGAATCTTTACGGAAATTATATGATTGTGGCTTTTGGTAAATAATTTATATAAAATAAAAAATTTTTTTTTTGCATGTTTACATGTAATATTTCACATTAATAAATTTTTTTTTAATTATTTTTAATTAAAGGAATTAAAGGGAATATTACTCGACAAAATGTCATAACATTATATAGAAATGAAAAAATTTACGTAATGGATATAAGAAATTTTACATGGGTCAATTCACTTGATCTTAGTCAAGCGGATAATAATAAAGTTTCTGATTCGCAATCTTCTAATAATGATAAAACAACAATTATCCTTGCATCAGTCCTTGGAATTTTAGGAGGTTTATTAGTTTTAATTGGTGGATTCTTTGTTTATAGATGGATCAATAAACGGAAACGAGAAAAAGACGATCCTGGTTTTTTTGGTTCGAATATTGATAGATGACGTTGATATTCCTGGTGCATCCGTTAATGATAGATTTGGTGAATATGAAAGATTAAATAAAATAATTAATTTTTTTTGGCTGATTTAATATCGGTCTTTACTAGTTCAATATTTTTAAATTTTATATGTATATCATTACATATTTTCTATATTCTAACAATTTTATTACGGCACTTATAATTTATTATAGAACAAAAAAACCAATGACATTATAAAAAAAAATCACGAATTAAAAATTCCAATTTTATTTAATTTATTTTTAAAGCAAAGATTGTTCAAGTTAAAAATTTATTCTTTTACTGGCTAGAAACTCTAACTACTGCTATTTGGAAAAGTTCTGCCTATTTCGAGACCTTAAAAAACTATTTTGGGATCTTTATAAAGTAAGGGTTCTTAATATATATATCCATGAAATGTAGCGTGTTTTATAGGAAAGAAAAATTTTTTTAAATAAAGATGTCAATTTTTTAAATGACCTAATTAACCAATCATACATATAAGTAAAAAATATAACTTTTTAATAAAGAAAATGTCAAAAGATATTCTTCTTGTTTTTCTTTTATTATAAATTCATAAAATTAAAAATATGATTAAATAGTAAGAAACGGGAACCGTTATACAGTCCAAAGTGTCGTTTCTGATTTATGAAGTTCGTTTACTTAAAAATGTATCAATAGCGTAAACTTTCGTAAAATATGCAGGACAAAACCGGTATTGATATGATATTTTCGGACTAATAAAGTTTTCTTTTTTATTTCATAACAATGAACTATTAAGAAGTATTTGTAAAACAACATTATAAAGAGCACAATTTAATTAAAATTGTGCGCGTTAACACTGTGTTAAATTCTACTTGTCCCTAGATTAATTGAGATGATGACAAAAATAATACAATAAACTATTTTTATCAGGGTGTGTCCAAATCTGGCCACCATTGTTGTTGATTAATGCTCAATTAATGATCGAGCTGGCTGTGCAGCTGGATATAGTTGAATCAGTTCGGAATTATAAAATTCTAACTAAATTTCTTGTAATTATAGAAAATTTTTTTAATGGATTGATATTTATTCGTTGAGTAACTTTAGTAATATTTCAAAGAATGTTTTAATAATTAAATAAGTATTAAAAAATCAACTTTTAAGAAAAAAATAGAATCTGTCAACTCCTAATTCCTGTTCAACTCCGGCAGTGTTGTTAGTGTTTGTTACACCTCCACTGTCAGGTTCACTGATACATTACTAAAAATACTTGAAGATAGATCATCGGTAACTTACGATTTAGGTAGAATTGTGGCATTTTGTTTGCTAAAAAATTTAACTCAGGATCGTTATGAAATCATTGAATTTTAATCTTTTTTTTTTTTTTTTTTCCAGACTCAAAAGTTTTGATAATTAATATAATGTCTTATAAATCTTTTTATTTATTTTTAATTTTTGCGTTGAAATACATATTCTTTGGAGTTGNGGAAAAATTTATATTTTTGGTGGAGCTGCTAATTTTTTAGTAGGTGCACAAACCAGAACGTTTTTTAGCGATATGATAACTTTTGATATCGCTGATTCATCATGGTCAATTAATACTGCGGTTAATGGACGTGCTACATATTCAGCGACATTATTATCAAATGGTATTATTGTGTATGTAGGAGGACTTGAACCTTTTAATGGAAATAACGATGTAGTCCTAATAGCAGATATTTCAAAAATTCTTCTTTTTGATACAAATTCTTTAACATGGTCAATGAACGTATGTATTGATATTAATTAATTAATTACTATCATCATCTTCATCACTATTATTTTCTTTTTAATTAAAGGTTTAAATTCTTCAAATTTTTTATAGTCAGCAAGAATTACAGCTTCAATACCAGTCGAAAATCGTCAGAGGCATTCAGCAGTATTAGGCCACACAAATTCGAATTTTCGGTTCACTTCACCCGGCCGGGTCACTTTTTCAAATTTCAATAAAAAAAAGTTTATATATAAAAAATTTATCATGTGATCAGAACGTAATTTTATTGGCGGGTAAGTTTATCACGCGGCTGAGAACTTCTAGAGCGAAAATAAATTCCTCCCTTTTAAAAGTCAACCAATCAAATGTCACAATTTTATATATAAACTTTTTTTACTAATAAACAATAAACCCCGGGTCCCCGGGTCGATTTTAAATTTCAATGTTACGTGAACCGAAAAATTGAATTTGTGTGGCATTAGGTAAAAAGAAACAAAAAAAAAAAAATTATTATTATTACTTTATAATAACACAAAAATAATAACACTTTGAAAAAATTTCTTTTAAAACATACATATTTTTTTTTAAAAAAAAAAAAATTAAAAGCTCCAAATGATCAAATTATTATTTATGGAGGTACTCGTACCACCGACGAGGTTGACTTTAATCAAGTATATCCAGATGTGTTAGTTTTAGATACAAAAAAAGATCCATATGAAATAACAGCACCGGATATATCTACAAATACTGGCATATTTCCATCACTTGCGGGTCATACAGCAAATCTTTTTGGATATTATATGATCGTGGCTTTTGGTAAATAATTTATATTGTGAAAATTTTTTCGCTACATGCATATAAATGTAATATTTCACATTAATAAATTTTTTTCATTTTCCATTAAAGGAAATACCACTCACAAAGATGATGAACCATCATTAGGTAAAAATGGAATTATTTACGTAATGGATATAAGAAATTTTACATGGATCAATTCACTTGATCAAGCTGCGGATAATAAAACTTTAAAAACTTCATCACCTGTTTCACAATCTAATAAAAATAAATTGAAACTTCTACTTGCAACAGCTTTTGGGATTTCAGGAGGTTTATTAGCTTTAACAGGTGGATTCTTTGTTTATAGATGGATCAATATAAGGAAACGAGAAAAAGATCATGCTCCTGGTTTTTTTGGTTCGAATGATGATGACAGTATTCCTGGCACACCTACTGATGATAATCTTAGCTCGTATTAAATAAAATGATCAATTCTTTGACAAGATTTATTTGATATAAGTTTTTGTTCATTATTTTTATATTTTATACGTATTTTATAATATATCTTCTCAATTATATAACAATTTTTTAGGCTATTTGGCCATTTACGATTTATTATAAAAAAAAAAAGATTCATAAATGAATTTTCAGTTATAAATAATTCGTAATAATTTTTATCAGACATTTACTAATTGGTCGTGACATCGTGCCTTACATGTATTTGCAATAAAAATATCATGATCAGTGAGCTGCGCTCAGTAAATCCCACCAATCATATTGCTTATTGCAAATATCAATCGGCACGAAGTAACTATTAAATATCGCTCGTTGAACAAAATAAATAAATAAATGAAAAAATAAAGCTATATTCGATAAATGAGTTCACAAACGGTTCACAAACGGGCATAAATATGATTCTTTTAGAATTATATATTTACAAATCATAATGATTAAAATTTTTAGGATATATGTAAACTGTTCAAGTCAGAAATATAATAATATGTTGTCATGTAAAACATATTTTTACAATTAGTTGATTTAATGTCTATGTATAGAACTTATATACACAACATTATAATTTATAAGTGAATAAATTTTTATCTGGGCGCGAAAGACTATACACCATATTTCTATGCATTTATGTGTTTCCCGCCATAAAAATCGATAACGTAATAAAAATAACAATAATATAATTTTTATTATTACTGAACTGCTGGGAAAATTCAAAGGTTTAAACTTTATTTTTACACAATTAAAATAATTAATAAGAAAAGTTCTGACAGTTTAGAAATTTTTAAGGAAAAAAATATAATTTTAATTTTTTGAGTTTGAGACTTTGAGTATTTATACGATTGAATTTATTTGACATATTTATTATTTAAATACTTTTATTATTTAATTTAATTTTTGCAGGGTGAAGGAAACTCCCTCTCCGGTTAATACCGACTACTATAAATTTATAATTGGGTTCCATTCCTAGGTTTTATTAATTTCTAGTTATAATATTAATCAAAATAAAAAGACACATCTAAATTGCAAAATAATTCTCCAGGATTGACTGTATACGCGAACTTACTTTTTTGGAATATAAACTGTAAAACATGATGCATGATCTTAGATCAACAGTCGACTTACCTATAATATCTCTTAATTTGTCGTTCCGTAAGATTAGTGTAAGATTATGATAACTCGCGTAACGATCAATAATTTTTCAAAAAAAAGGCGATATCCGAACAATATCCTGATATAACCCAGATTAGTTTAAATAATTTTGTGCTTAATAACGATTCACTTTTCAGGAAACTTATTTTAACGATGCAAAAATATTCGTCATTTTTTTTTAATACAAAAAAAAACATTTTTATTAATATAAAATGTATTTACATGCATTTTATCATAAAAATTTTTATTATATTAGTAAGTTGTTCAGGAATATCTTCACTTGATATTGTATGCAAATATCCATTTTAACATTATATGTAACTTTAGAACACCTATCTTAAGAGCTAAATGCGATTTCATTTCATTTGGCTTTTCCACGTTTCAAAGATTGTGAAAATTTTACACACTGCTTCCTTATGAGCATTATTTGGAATATTTATAATGCTAAATTTCATACTTTATCTTTTTTTTACCTGGTTTTTTTTTTTTGAACTAAATTTAAAAGTTTCATTTTCTGCGCCTTCTAACATTATATTTGATCAAATCTAAAAGACTAAAACAATATTTGTATAGATGCTACTTTCATTATTAAATAAAATATTAATTTTAATGTTTTACTATAGCAGATATAAATATTATTATAAAGTAACATACCATAATACCATATTCAAAAGTAAAAAATTTAATTAATTGTTTAAAGAAATATTTATTCTAAAAAAGGGGCAGTTTGACTTTTTAATAGCTGTATATATTTGTTTTTGCTAATAGAATAAATAATATAAAATGATGCTAATTTTTTGGGCCTTTTTTTAAAAAAATATTTTTTTTGGGCTTAGATTAGCATTTAACAAAAAAAGGCTTACCGTATTGCGGAGCCATATAGTAAGATACAAATTTCACTCTCTATTGCGCGAATTTTATTATTAATTGAGAATGTTTGAAACTTATATAACAATTGAGATCATACGGACGTTTATCGTCGCCAGATAAAACATGGGGGGTACTGTGCCGCAAAAAATGGGAGTTTTTTTTAGCATTTAGTTTTTTAAGCCAAATGATTAATATTTGAACTTGGTCTTTTTAAGCCAAATAATACTAATTTATTTAGGCTTAGCATTTAACAAAAAAAGAGAGTTTCTAGAATCACTAAATTACATGACGGCACAGATGCTTTAATAAATTAATATTTACAAATTGTCAAACGTTTCATTTTTGTCTTGTCGTGATTTTTGTTGTTTATTTAAGTATCGTTAAAGTATCGTTAAAGTATCGTTAAGGATTTTTTTTTTATTTCATTAATTTTTATAAATATACTGATACAGTCGCACCTCCATAAGTGCACCCTTTATAAGTGCATTCTCTCCCTATATGCACGCCATGGCTTGGTCCCAAGCTAGGGACTTAGAGCTACGTGCACACTCTCTATGTTCTACACGTGCGTGCATGTAATTCTGAATTCCGGGTATATCAGAGCACTCTCCATCAATGCATTCACGTGATAACTATATAATGTTGACCAATCATCGATAGCTGTTTGGTCCTTTAAAATAGATAAATTTGACAATTTAATAAAAAATATTCTTCAATCTTTTTAATTTTTTTAATTTTATTAAATTACTTTACACCACAGATCATTTTTGTATGTGCAATTCTTTCATTAAAATGAAAATATAAAATAAAAGTGAATTTAAATAAATATTCCCTCAAATTACTAATATTGATTTTTCTCTAAGTGCACACCCTCCCTAATTGCATGTGCATAGCCGGGCCCCAGGTGCGTGCACTTATGGAGGTGCGACTGTATATGGAATTTTAAGCCCTGTAAAAAATGTCGTTCCGTCTTCTATATTCCATTTTTTTTTTCGTAAAAGGCTCATATTTCCGGAATTAGTAACCTTATATCACGGAATTTATCGATTTATTTACATTTTCCGTGAATAGATCCGTGAAAGGCATGTCATTTTTACGGAGTTTTTACAGAAATAACGGATAAACCTGTGCAGATCATGTGTCTGCGGCTACCACTTTTTTTTTTTTTTTTGACATGTGAATTAGCTGGATATAACTGAATCAGTTTAATCGGTTTGATATTATAAAATTCTACTTGAAAATTGAATCGAATTTGTGTAATAGTACCTTTTGTTACGCCAACTCCTACATCAGGGAATTTTTTCCACATAAAATATTGTGGAAATATGTGAAAATCTCAATAGTTCCAATATTTTCCAAATACCCTGTGACAAACACATGGTATTTTCGGAGTAGATCCAATATTAATCCATCATATTGGAAAATTACCTAAAAATTTCATGATGTATACCGGTTTTACACCTCCGTAAATTTACATGGTTCGAGCAATAACTCACTATATTCAATGATTACTCGTATCATTTACTATAAATACTTATCATTATACACATCAGCATCGTTAATTGGTAACTGATTCCCAAAAATGGCTTACAATGAAAAAAACGAATTGTTAAAAGATTGCTATGAAATGATTTTCTTTTTCGTTTTATTTAATTTTATTTATTTATTTTTTTTTGATTCCAGAGTCAAAAGCTTTTAATAACTAATAATGTCTTACAACACTTTTTATTTGTGTTTAATTTTTGCGTTGGGATACATATTCTTTGGAGTTGAATCATATATTCCCGTAGGACGTATAGGTCATTCCTCTACACTTATTGGAAATAAGATATATTATTTTGGTGGAATAACAGACGTAGGAGCATCATTAAATGATGTATTTTATCTTGATTTATCTCAACCATTTAATGTAGCAAATCCACCATGGATTAAAATAACTGATATTCCGTTTGGAAGTTCATGGGGATCTGTTGCATTAGATAATTCTAATAATACAGAAGTATATCTCTTTGGAGGAATAACGGATGATGTAAATACACAAAAAGATTCATTTAAATCATTTGTATATAAATTTAATATTAATTCCTTATCATGGAATATACCTACTGTTAGTGGTACTGCTCCCTCAAGACGAATAGAAATGAAAGCTATTAGTGATAATTCGGGAAAAATTTATATTTTTGGTGGAGCTGCTAATTTTTTAGTAGGTGCACAAACCAGAACGTTTTTTAGCGATATGATAACTTTTGATATCGCTGATTCATCATGGTCAATTAATACTGCGGTTAATGGACGTGCTACATATTCAGCGACATTATTATCAAATGGTATTATTGTGTATGTAGGAGGACTTGAACCTTTTAATGGAAATAACGATGTAGTCCTAATAGCAGATATTTCAAAAATTCTTCTTTTTGATACAAATTCTTTAACATGGTCAATGAACGTATGTATTGATATTAATTAATTAATTACTATCATCATCTTCATCACTATTATTTTCTTTTTAATTAAAGGTTTAAATTCTTCAAATTTTTTATAGTCAGCAAGAATTACAGCTTCAATACCAGTCGAAAATCGTCAGAGGCATTCAGCAGTATTAGGCCACACAAATTCGAATTTTCGGTTCACTTCACCCGGCCGGGTCACTTTTTCAAATTTCAATAAAAAAAAGTTTATATATAAAAAATTTATCATGTGATCAGAACGTAATTTTATTGGCGGGTAAGTTTATCACGCGGCTGAGAACTTCTAGAGCGAAAATAAATTCCTCCCTTTTAAAAGTCAACCAATCAAATGTCACAATTTTATATATAAACTTTTTTTACTAATAAACAATAAACCCCGGGTCCCCGGGTCGATTTTAAATTTCAATGTTACGTGAACCGAAAAATTGAATTTGTGTGGCATTAGGTAAAAAGAAACAAAAAAAAAAAAATTATTATTATTACTTTATAATAACACAAAAATAATAACACTTTGAAAAAATTTCTTTTAAAACATACATATTTTTTTTTAAAAAAAAAAAAATTAAAAGCTCCAAATGATCAAATTATTATTTATGGAGGTACTCGTACCACCGACGAGGTTGACTTTAATCAAGTATATCCAGATGTGTTAGTTTTAGATACAAAAAAAGATCCATATGAAATAACAGCACCGGATATATCTACAAATACTGGCATATTTCCATCACTTGCGGGTCATACAGCAAATCTTTTTGGATATTATATGATCGTGGCTTTTGGTAAATAATTTATATTGTGAAAATTTTTTCGCTACATGCATATAAATGTAATATTTCACATTAATAAATTTTTTTCATTTTCTATTAAAGGAAATACCACTCACAAAGATGATGAACCATCATTAGGTAAAAATGGAATTATTTACGTAATGGATATAAGAAATTTTACATGGATCAATTCACTTGATCTTGATCAAACGGCGGATAATAAAACTTCATCACCACCTTCACAATCTTCTAATAATGATAAAACAAAACTTATACTTGCATCAGTCCTTGGAGTTCTAGGAGGTGCATTAGTTTTAGTAGGTGGATTCTTTGCTTATAGATGGATCAATAAAAGGAAAAAAGAAAAAAAAGTACCTGGCTTTTTTGGTTCAAATTTTGATAGATATGATGCCGGATTCCCTGGTACACCTGTTGATAATAGTAAATCGCCAACCGAGGCATGTAAAAAGTGATATTTTTACAGTTGATTTAATGCCTATTTTATAGAATTGACGATATAAGTGAATAAATTTTTGTCTCCCTGTCCGGAATAAAAAATAGCAAAATAGCTATAATTTTTATCCCTTAAACTGTTTTGCAGCCAAATTTGCCTACAATTTTGTTTTTTAATTAAAGACACTTTTAAATACCTTAGAAAATACTATAGAATTTATTACAAAAATATTGGTTTATGTAATAAAATATTTTAAGTAAAAATCGAAAAAAAAGTTCAATTTGATTAATGATTTTTTAAAAGTTAAATGATCGATAAATTATAACAAATAGTAGCTAATTTTTTAAATTGAAATATCTTTTTATCCATTAACCCTAGAAATATAAAATTACCACCATTTGATGCGTCTTAATGAGAAGAATCTGATAGAAATAAAATTGTTCTTCTACAAATATTATGTGACACGATAACTTATAAAATCTAAAAATTTATAAATTAATATAACTTTTTATTTATCAATTTTAGAGTTATGATTTTATTACCATTAAATGCGTCTTAATAAGAGGAATCTAACAAATATAAATTTATCTTTCTATGATCACTAAATCTTAAGATATTTTAAAAATTCTAAAATTTTTAAAATTAATTTTAGCCCCTACAGTTTAAGGGATAACCGAACTGCTGGGAAAATTCACAAGTTTAAAATTTTTTTTAAATAATTAATATAAATATCATTACTACTAGCACTTTATATATGAATTTACGACAAGAAAAGTTCTTCTATCAGTTTAGAAAATTTTTAAGAAAAAAAAAATAAAATGTATTTACTACTTAGTTCGATCCGGATAAAAACCATTATTCGGGTAAATAAAAAAAATATCCGATTTCTATCCGGATAATCCGTAAGTCCGGATATATTTTGTAGATCAATCTTAAATAATTCTTGGCATTTTATAGTGTCACTTGGTTAATTAAATTACGTGTATAACAGGTTATATTAAAAATTTTAATTTTGGACGGAAATTAACGGAATTACATCCGTTTAATTTGAAAAATGTAATTTTCCATCAAAATCTGATCATCAAAATTGCTGCGCCACAACCATGTTTTTATAATGCACATCATCAAAGAGTTTATTTTTTACAAGATGGAGGAAACTCCTAATATTGGCTACTGTAAATTTATATAATTGACTCAAACGGATTCCATTCCTAGGTGGGTTTATTAATTTCTAATTAAATCATATACCGTATTTTATTAATATTAAGCACGCTCCACATTTAATATAATAACTAAAAATAAGCGCCTTTTGATGATATCTCAAACATTTGAAATTATATCATTGGATTCATCTCATTGAGACGAATCATTTATTTACGAAAAGATCAATTAGAAACAATAGAAGATCATTCATTTTTTTTTTTTTAAGAAAATATTCATACATATCTAAATTATTGCTTTATAAAATTTACGTTAGATCCATAAAATTATAACATCATGAAATGAATATTTTTCTCAATAATATTAATCAAAAAATAAAAGACTAAATGAAAAGCATTGATTAAACATCTAAATTATATATACTCAAATAATTCACCAGGACCGACTGCATACGCGAACTTAACTTCAGGAATAAACTGCAAAATAAGATCTCAGTTATGCCATATCAACAATCGACTTTCCTATAATCATCTCTTCCGTAAGATGCACTAACATTATAAAATCGCGTGATAACTCGCGTAATGATCATCAATTTTCAAAAAGGCGTTTAATGAACAAAAAAAAAGCTAATAAAATTAATTTGGTGCTTAATAACGATTCACTATTCAGAAAACTTATATTAACCGATGCAGAAATTAAAAAAAAATAATGCAAAGTGCTGATAGTACAATAATAAACAAACCATACTAAAAGTTATACTATGTCATGCACGTTTATCAAAAGATTTGAGTCAGTACTTTCGGATCACCCACATTGAAATTCATTTTTGCGCATTTTGAACTAGATGATCAAGCTAATATTGTAATATGTAAATAACGTGACCCTGATGATTAATGCAGATCATGTGTAATTTGAGCAACTGCCAACGATCAATGACATGTGAATATGTATTGTAAATAGTTGAAATTCAATTGAAATTATAAAATTTCTTAAAATTTCTAAATTTCTTATAATCACAGAAAATTTTCTTTTTTTAATGGATTGATTTATTTTTTTTTTTTTGAATAATTTACCCTTGTTAGTTAGTTTTATACAAAATAGGTATTGAAAACATCTTAAAAAAAAACTGGATCGAAATTGTGTGATAAACAAATAAGTACTTTATATTACGTCCATTCCGGATTTGGAATAATTTTGAAACAGTGACTCCTATTCAACTCCGGAAGTGTTACATCTCCAAGTTAGATGGTATTGTCGTTTACATAGTTGATAAATAATAAAACTATTACTGGTGGTCAGTTACTATAAGCATTTATTCACTTATTCGCTTAGTAATAGATCAACAATATGCATAAGGAAGAACTTTCGGTAATTATGAATTAGGGGCATTGTGGCATTGTTTGGTCTAAACAAGAAAATAAATTAAAAAATCCAAAGAGTTTTATGAAATAAATGTGTGTCCTTTTTAATTTTTTTTTTTTAATTCCACAGTCCACGTTCACTTATTAAAAGTTTTTAGTAATTAAAATAATGTCTTATACCACTTTTTATTTATGTTTGACCTTTGCATTGGGATACATATTCTTTGGAGTTGAGTCATATGTTCCTGTAGGACGTGTAGGTCAATCTTCTATACTTATTGGAAATAAGATATATTATTTTGGTGGAATAACAGACGTAGGAGTATCAAATGATGCATTTTATCTTGATTTATCTCAATCATTTAATATAGTAAATCCACCATGGACTCAAATGCCTAATATTCCGTTTGGAAGTTCATGGGCATCTGTTGCATTAGATAATTCTAATAATGCAGATATATATCTCTTTGGAGGAATGATGTTTGATGTAACTACACAAAAAGATTCATTTAAATCATTTGTATATAAATTTAATGTTAATTCCTTATCATGGAATATTCCTAATGTTGGTGGTACTGCTCCCTCAAGACGAATAGAAATGAAAGCTGTTAGTGATAATTCAGGAAAAATTTATATTTTTGGTGGAGCTTCTAATTCTTTAGTAGGTGCACCAACCAGAACGTTTCCTAACGACATGATAACTTTTAATATTGCTGGTCCGTTATGGTCAATTAATACTGCGGTTAATGGACTTGCTACATATTCAGCGACATTATTATCAAATGGTATTATTGTGTATGTAGGAGGACTTAGCCCTTTTAATGGAAATAACAATGTAATCCGAATGGCAGATATTTCACAAATTCTTCTTTTTGATACAAATTCTTTAACATGGTCAATGAACGTATGTATTGATATTAATTAATTACTATCATCATCATCATTATTATTATTTTCTTTTTAATTAAAGGTTTAAATTCTTCAAATTTTTATAGTCAGCAAGAATTACAGCAACAATACCAGTCGAAAGTCGTCAGAGGCATTCAGCGGTATTAGGTAAAAAGAAAACAAAAAAAAATAATTATTATTATTTTATAATAACATTTTGAAAAAATTTCTTTTTAAAACATACAATATTTTTTTTTTTAAAAAAAAAAAAATTAAAAGCTCCAGACGATCAAATTATTATTTATGGAGGTACTCGTACCACCGACGGGGTTGACTTTAATCAAGTATCTCCAGATGTGTTAGTTATAGATACAAAAAAAGATCCATTTGAAATAACAGCACCAGAAGTATCTACAAATATTGGTAAATTTCCGACACTTACGACTCATTCAGCGGATCTTTATGGAAATTATATGATTGTGGCATTTGGTAAATAATTTATATTATGGAAATTTTTCTTTACATGTATAATATGTAATATTTCACATTAATTCATTAATTAATTTATTTTTTTTTAATTAAAGGGAATATTACCCGACAAAATGCCGAACCATTAGGTAGAAGTGAAAAAATTTATGTGATGGATATAAGAAATTTCACATGGATCAATTCACTTGAACTTACTAATCAAGCGAATAATAATAAAACCACTTCATCTTCTGGTTCACAATCTTCGAATAATGATAAAACAACAATTATCCTTGCATCAGTCCTTGGAGTTTTAGGAGGTGCATTAATTATAACCGCCGGATTCTTTGCTTATAGATTTATCAGTAAAAGGAAAACAGAAAAAGAAGTTCCTGGCTTTTTTGGTTCAAATTTTGATAGATATGATGATGACGCTGGTGTTCCCGGTACACCCGTTGAGAGTAGATATAATGAATTTGAAAGATTTAAATGAAATAGCTAATTCTTTAAACCGATTTGATATCGGTCTTTTGTTAGACATTTTTATAATTTTATGTATTTTATAGTATATTTTCTTTACATACAGTATATACTCTAATTTTATAACAGGCATTTCCGATTATAGACAAAAAAAATCAATGACATTAAAAAAAATTCATGAATTAAAAATTCTCATTTAATTATTTAAAACAGAATGAACATAAACGATTCATAAATGAATTTTTGTATCAAAAAAAACATTAAATTTGATTGGTCAGAACACTATCACGTCAGGAAAAAAGGTTTGGGATAAATTAAGGTTTAAAAATTAAAATTAAAATTCAACCGTACACCGCAAAATTTATTCTAATAGCCCGATATATATATACTATTGAAAAATAGCTTTGTAAAACAAATAGACTCAAAATCATGATTTATTTTTCTTACATCATAACTATCACGTCAGGAAAAAAGGTTTGGGATAAATTAAGGTTTAAACAAATCATTTCAATTAAAAATTAAAATTCATCCGTACACCGCAAAGCAAAATTCATTCTAATAGCCCGATATATATATACTATTATACTATTGAAAAATAGCTTTGTAAACAAATAGACTCAAAATCATGATTTATTATTCTTACATCATAATGAGTAGCATTGTTACAATGGAAAATGATTACCATTTAAGCCATATTAACACATGTATTAATTTAATATAAATATAGGAATTATTCATCAATAAATCAATAAACGCCATTTTGATTCTGTTTGATTTTTTTCCTCCTTTCCAAATCCCAAATATCAAAAAATGCCAAAAGAATTTTTCACGGTCGGTGCACTTTTATATAAAGATTACGATTTATTAGATGTAAATGGTTCACTTCGTATGTTAGGTTCATTGAAAGCAAATTTTAATATTATAACTATTACTCAAACTGGAGAACATGTAACATCATTTACTCCTCAAATCGCCAATTACATTAATTATAATTTTGAAAATTGTCCCGACTTTGATATATTATTCATCCCAGGTGCGTGCTTGATTAATGTTAAACTTTCACTTAAACACTTAACAATCATTAAAACAATTATTTTGGATTAGGTGGTGTTGGAACCAGAGATGAATTGGAAAATAGTGTTTTTTTGGATTTTATTAAACAACGCGTACCAAAAGTAAAATATGTGTTAACAGTATGTACTGGTAGTGGGTTACTTGCTAAAACTGGTTTATTGGATGGAAAAAAAGCTACGACTAATAAACTAGTTTGGAATTGGATGACTTCTTTTGGTACGAATCAAACTAAAATTTTATATTTAGAAACAAGATTAAATTCAAAAAAGTTTGCGTTAATCATATGACTTCGCGTTACAGGACCCAATGTTGAATGGGTAAGAAAGGCTAGATGGGTTGTAGATGGGAAATTTTATACTTCTTCTGGAGGTAATGTATAATTTATACTATACACGCACATCAAATTTATTTATTAATTTTCTTAATTTTCTTTCACTTTATTAAAGTTTCTGCCGGTATGGATATGGTACTTGGATTTATTTCTGACATATACGGAAAGGAAGAGGCCGATAAAGTTGCTTTAGAAGCCGAATATCAATGGCATGATGATCCTCATTGGGATCCATTTGCCGACAAACTCCCTGGAACAGTTGATTTGTCTACTATTCCTTCCTAAGTTTTTAAATTTCTTGAGAAATTTGACTTTTTTATTTTATTATTTTTCTTTCTGTTTTATGTTTATTGATTCATTTATCAAAAAAAGAATAATAATCAATAAAAATTATATTATTTTTTTAAGTAAGAATAAAATTGAAATTATGTTAATTTGAATAAATTTTTCATCCTCTTTATCGTATTGGCTAAAGAGGCTTATTCCCGTTCGTGATCGATTAGTTTAACTTGTACCCGAACTTTTAGACCCGAGTAACTATCTACTGATCCAGTTAAATCCACATCTTGTTCATCTTGAAAGAAATTAGAAATTTCTGGATTGAAGTTTTGATATCTAATTTCATCAAATACAGTATATCCCCAATATTACTACAAGTATATCTAACGAGATACCCTAATTAATTCTTTTGCCTTTGGCCTTTTGGTTCGTAACCTTAAATAATAAAATAATTCCTCCAATAATTGGCAAAAATTGTTTCAATTTTGATCTAACAATATTATAAATTTCATTCAAGACGATTGTTGGTACTTTCCTTGGATAATTAATTCAAAATGTTTAAGACAAACATCAGTTCGATCCTCGTGAACATAATAAAAAGTGGGAAGAATTGATGAAAGCCAATCATATAGCAACTAATGTAGTATTAGGTAAATGCAATTAATGAAGTAGTTAGCAGCGAGATGTTTTCATTAAATATTGAAATAATTGGATAATCCTCTATTGATTTTAATATAATTCGTTAATCGTAAAAGTCATCCATAGTTTTGGCTTTTATATGTCCGATTTCCAGGTTTTTGAAACGTACAATATATTAGTAGATTTTTAATGAGCAGTATCTATTTGTTTCAATTAGTATTCAAATAATTTATTTACTTTACAAATGAACAGAGAGAAAAAGTTGTATGATTTTGAAATTAACATAGTAACGTAGTTAATTTTTTAATGCTGGCCGAGTATCTGTAACGCTGAGAAAGTAACCGTAAAATCACGTGACTATTAATTATCGTAAATTCCCTAGAGCCTTTAGTTTGGCTACAACGTAATATTAGTTTTTTTTTAAAAAAAAAAGCGCCCTGTATTGCGGTAGTTCTGTTCACTACCTACGGTTTTCCTTTGATCTTTAATTAAAAATAAAAATAAAAATTTAAAGTTACATAATTTTATTATTATACTTCTAATAACATTATTTTAATCCTTTTACTTTATGAAAAATTAATCAGAATTCGATTGTATATTGTGAAATCTATTTCTGGGTCAGCTTTATTAATATAGAAAATAAATTACATTTGGCTATTCATTGGAATCATAGTCTTGTTTTACAAATTAACAACTTTCTATATTAATGCTTGTGATCACACCCTTGTCTAAACAATAGATTAACACCATGATTTGTCCCAATAATCGATATTCTGGATAGAATAAAAAATGGTCGTCAGTTATAATGTTATAATTGTAAGAGATCTACAGCGACATAAATAAATGAACAACATTAACCTTATTAAAACGGTTGTGCTGTCCGTTAATAAAATCCTTGAAATTTTAACAAAATAGTTTGTAAGCTCCGAAGTCGCTTCCTTGCAATGCACGCCCATCACGGCCGAAAAGTATTCATGCACTTTCAAAACTTCCGAAAATCTTATGTCGCAAAGACCAAAGGAAAGATAATTCCAGGTTAACGGGCAGTAGTTAAAAACCAGTGATCCACAATCCAGTGATCCACAATCCATTGATCCACCGCAACCAACAACAGCAGCAACAGTAACGACAGCAACGGCAGCAACAACATACTTTAAGTAAATTTTCGATTCGTTTACAACTGCTATAGCAGCAACAATAGTATCAACAACATAATATCACCATACTGGCACTGGCACCTAACTTGACTAATGACTACAAATCTGCCTAATAGATAAATTTTTCACCAGATCAGTGAATATTCAGCAAATATCAAGATGGATAATCATTATACATTGAATCTCTCTCCAGAGATTCAGATTAAACCCAACTGTCACGCGGAAATACTATTAGGACCTTTGTCAAAAAGTTCTGTGGGATACTCATTGGTAAATTGCCTATTACAAGGAGGACAATGTGAAGTATAACATTGGTAATTAATACAAAGATATTGTCTTCACGAGGATCAAATATTTTAATGGATTTGAATTGAAGCTTCTTGAAAAATAAATTGCTGCTTTACGACGCAATCCAGGATGTATATGATCTAACAATTGCAAATACTGCGCCATGTAACACATTAAAATTTTTTAAATTATAAATAATAAGAAATTCCACGTTTAAGAAGACAGGATTCTCTGTATTAGTGTCAATAGATCCATCGTCCTATCCTGGAACTTGCACAATAAAGGGCAAAGGAAATATGTATAACCAAAACCAACTTCAATCATCATTGATGATACACTTTCTAAACTTGTCCATAGTCATCATTGGAGGTAATGGACAAAATTTGTATAAATCTAATAGCGCTTTCTTGGCAGCTAGACAAATTGGATTATACTCTTCCACATTTGATTGATCCGATACACAATTCCAAAATCCAAGAACTGGTCAGACTCAAGAGTCGGCTTACAGTCATATTTGAGACATTAATATACGTTTTTTTTATTTTGCAGTTTATGGTATACTTATTGCTATATTATTGCTATATTACTCCTGCTACATTATTAATTCCACATTATCATGGTGGTGAAAAGTACGAAAAGTACTTCGTATGACTCGATTACTTTCATAATGTTAATATATATATTTTATTATTCAACATACAATATATATTATAACAGGTGGAAAATACTGGTTCTACATTGTTTCCTGGTGGGTGTGAAGAGATGATTATTCCTTATATCACGCGTAATTCGGCGCCATATCGTTTTCTGGTCTTGTAATCGTGTTGTCGCAAATAAGGGCTGATAGGCCCTACGACTCTGAATTAAAGTTAAAGCTGCGCTGGTTCTTTAAAAGTGATTCTGCTTGATCCAATATAACTTGAGAGCAAAGCGAAGTTAGCGAACAGCGCTCCTGGAGGAGTTGTAACTTTTTTTTCAGACTGTGAACAATGGAATGTAACTTGGAAAATAGCCTGGAAAGCAGACTGGGGAAGTCTGGGAGTAGACTGTGAAGATTGGGGACTGTGAAGATTGGGAAGTAGACTGGGAATAAAACGAAAGATGAGAATTCTAATATTTAACGCAATGTGTAAAAATTTTCCTTTGTCCAGGTTAAGGTTATAGCAATATGAATTTGGAAATCTTAGATTTTTATTTTAGTGATTAAATCAGTTTCTATGACGATTAGTCACATGTGAAAACGGAACTTGTACGACAAACCTTTAATCCCCCCTATATGTCAAGACTCCTATATGTCATAATTGTCATATGTCAATGTCAATACTCCTATATGTCAAAGGCCCTTATATGTCAAGACCCCAATATAAGACACCTCCCTATATGTCATTATTCATTGTTATCTCAATTCTCGAAATCTAATCTCGGGATACAATACGATGTGATTTAACATTATTAACATTTCTAAGATTACTCTTACGCACGTAATTATGAATATTTTGATAAATGAGGGATTTATTTAACAACTCTTTTTCGTGATGGTTATAATGATGGTAGTTATATGATGGTTATAGTGATGGTTATAGTGATGGTAGTTATATGATGGATATACTGTATGTTATTATAGTGATGTGATGGATATGTTATATGATGGTTATATTGATTGATGGATATATGTTATATGGTTATAGTGATGATTATATTACTTTTATATGATGGTTATAGTGATGGTTATATATGTTATATGATCGTTATAGTGATTATGATATTGTAAGTTGTAACATCCAAAAAAATTATCAATGTCAAAAATACTACTATATATATTTTTTTCACATCTTTTTCTTAAATTATAATAAAATTATTACAAATTAATATTATTATTATTATTATTATTATTATTATTATTATTATTTATTATTTTTACAATTTAGCTGTAGCAATTAAATATTCACTAACTTGTTTTGAACAAACATTTCTAAAATCTTTTTCAGTTATACCTTTTGATTCAATAGCAGGATTATAATTAAATCTTTGTTTCCAACCTTCTTTATCATCATTTTTATTTGATAATTCGGCTTGTTTATAAATAGTTACAACAACAGCACCACCAAGTCCAATATTATGTTGTAATGCATATTTAATATTTGGTACTTGTCTATTTGTACACCATCCTCTTAATTGCCAGACCTAAAGGAAAAAAAAAAGGGTTCAAAATTAAAAATCAAATCTCAATAGTTGGAAGAATTATATTACGTTCAGCATACCAATTCAGAACATTGAGCTAATCCAGTTGCACCAAGAGGATGACCTTTAGAAATCAAACCACCTGAAGGATTTATCACATATTTACCACCATATGTAACATCATTTGAATCGATCAATTTGTGAGCTTGTCCAGGTTTACAAAGTCCAAGAGCATCATAAGTAATTAACTAAATATTATTTGGAAAATATTTTGTTCATAAAATTACGTTTATAAATAAAATTCAATAAATTCAATAATAATTATACATACCTCATTAGCGCTAAAACAATCATGTAATTCAATAACTTGAATATCATTAGGAGTAATACCAGCTTTTTTATAAACTTGTTTAGCAGCTTTTCTAGTCATATCAGCACCAGCTAATTCAATAGAACTTTTCTTTTCTAATAAATTAGGAGAATCAGTAGCTAATTCTTGAGCAACAATTTCAATTGCTTGATTTTGTAAATTATTTTCTAAAACAAATTTTTCTGATGCTACTATAACAGCAGCTGATCCATCCGAAGTTGGACAACATTGAAGTTTTGTAAGTGGACCAAAAATTTGTGGTGAAGATTTTACTTGATCTAATGTATAAACATCTTTTAATTGTGCATAAGGATTCTTTGCACTAAAAAAAAAAAAAAATATTATATTTAGTAAATTTGATTACTTTTACAATTATTTTTAAAATTACTTTTACAATTACTTTTTACTTTTTACAAATTACTTTTACAATTACTTTTACAATTACTTTTTACTTTTACAAAAAAGAATGAATGAACTTCCTTAAAAACTTACCTATGACGATGATTTTTTTCACCAATTTTTGCCATATGTTCAGCAGTGGCACCATATTTTTCACAATATTCTATTCCAGCATTACCAAATATCTGAGCTGTAAAAGGTGAATTTGTAATTCCACGAGTTTCCGATAATAATGATACAGTAGTATCTAACAATTTAAAATAAATGAATTTAATTAATTTCAAGTTAATAACAAGAAAAAAATAGTTGTAAAAAACAAGTAAAGATAATTACCCAGTGGACTAGTACGATCATTAAAGCTAGATGAGATAGATCCTATTGATTGATTTGATTGATTCGATTAAAGATATACGATTTAATTAACAAATAAACGATTTTATTATAATATTTTTATTATAATATTTTTTATTATAATATTTTTTATTTACCTTTTGCCATCTTCTCAAAACCTAATGCAAGAGCACAATCAACAATTCCGAATTCAACTGCTTGACGAGCCAAATACAGTGCAGTTGATCCAGTTGAACAATTATTATTCACATTTCTTTTTTTTTTAAAAAAAAAAAAAATTAAATCATTTAAATAAAATTTATTTTTTAAAAAGATTAATTTATTTATTACATTATTTTAAAATAAAATTATTTAAAAAATCAATTCTTCTTACATGACAGGAATTTGAGTCATACCAAGTTGATAAACAGCACGTTGACCACAAGTACTATCACCAAAACAATATCCTACATATGCTTGTTGAATTACATCGTAAGTTTTACCAATATCCATCAATGCTTTGACCATAGCCTCACGGGCCATGACTATAAGTTAATATTAATGGTATTAATTGGCGATGTTTTTATGAGATATCCAAATATTAGTAGCTAATTGTTACCGCAGTACCGAACTATAATCCATGGGATATCTCCCGATGTAATAATAACTATAATAACTTACCGGGATAATCAACTTGACCACGTGGTTTAATGAAATTGGTCATTCCAACTCCAATCACATATGATTTTCTTTGAGAAGTTGCCATTATTAAAATCGTATTAATTATTATTTTATTTTTAAAGAGGGAGAGAAAGTCGAAAGAAAGAAAAAAAGAAAAAAAGAAAAAAAAAAAAAGTTTTTAAACTCAAATTTAAAAAATCGAAGATTATTACCTAGAAAATCGGGGAATGTAACGCAATTTAAACGGGGTGCAGTTTCCAAAGACGTTCATTCAATTGTTCATCTACTGTTTCAGTGTTTCATCATCCGTTATCCTCCGTTTCTCATCATCATCAACTTTCCGTTCATCTCTAAATTAGTCAATATAAAAAATTTACAAAAAGAAGTTTAGTTTGAACGGAAAAATCTTTATTAATAATATTATAAATTAGGTAGATTTTTACCGAAATCTTTTTTTAATTCAAATTCGGGGATCATAACCATGGAAAACCGTGTAACAATTGTAACATTTTTTTTATACAATAATAATCAATGAAATCAAATTTAGTAAGGTTAATATTGTTTTAAATATTGTAAACATGGGAGTATTTGGTGTTCAAATTTTAATGCATTGAATAATATAGATTTCGCCATATTTCCTAATTTCTTTATTTCATTTAAAAATAAAATATTACGTGGGTTATTATATAATACAATATAAGTATATATTAATATAACTTTTTTTAAAAAGTCATCTGATCCATGTATTGTTTAAATATTAACACAATATTTAAAACAATATAACTCAAAAATAAAATTTTAATATATCTTTATTTAGTTGTTAGTATAGAATAGTTAGTTTAAAATAGTTAGTTCAAATTATATACAAAATTAAAAAAAAAAAAAAAAAAAAAGTTGCCAAGATAACTCAAATTGGTTAATTCAGTGAAACAAAGAATATTTTTAGTCTAAAAAAAAAAGAATGTTTGTAATACAAAAATTATGTTAAAGGGTTAAATGAGTTCTATTTCGAATTGATATTATTAATTGTTTTTCTTGAAACCGATGAACAATTGACATTTAAAAGTAGGAAGAAAAAGCGCGTAACGTAAAATGGAACGATAATAATGATTGAATTACGCGAATAAAAAATATATGTACATTATTATTATATTTTTTTTTTTGAATTTTTTTGAATTTTTTTACATTTAATATATCCTACAAATTTTTTTTTTTTTAGGTAAAATAAAATTACAATAAATAAAATAAATAAAAATTAATAATTAATTACGGATTATTTTGTAAATTATTTAAAGGTTCATTTGAATAAGTAGGACTTGGAGGGGTTATTACAGAACTTGAATCAGCTTCGGATTTTACAGGAGGTTCTAAATAACTTATTCTTACTTGTTGTGTTGTTGTAATTGAAATAAATGAAGACATAGGATCAACGTCATTTACAGAACCTCCAGTAATTATCGTTGAAAAGAATTCACCAGATTTTTGTAAAGAATTATTATGAATATTTGTCATATTTGTCATAGTTGCAGAATCAGAAAATGTTGACGGAAAGGAAGAAGAAGTAAATCTACGAATCTTTTCAAGTACAGGTTTTACGGATACGATATTACGCGTTATTCCATAAATTATTGTATTTACAAAACCTGCGCTCGTAAATACACAAGCGGCCGGAATCAAACTTTATTGAAAGAAACAAAATAAATTAAATTAAATTAATAAAATTAAATTAAATAAAATCAAAATAAAATCAAAATAAAATCAAATATACTTACTAATTGATTCCCCATACATTTGGATTTTCGGTGGCAATAGCAACAATACGTTCTAATAATCAGAATTAATACAAAGTTATATATAAGTTATATAAGTTATATATATGCAATACTCAAAGTTATATATGTGCAATACTTACGAAGAGCCAATGGAAATACTAATATAATATATACTATAGGATACCATACTAATTTTTTATTAACACTTTGTAAAACTCTTTTGGAACCTTGAGTTGCCATTGAACCTTGACGTCTGTAAATTACGGTAAACATCACGGCATATAAAATTATCATAGCGGCAGCATTAAATAATATAATTCCATAATGAAAACCAATTCTATAATTTGGATAATAAGGAGAAATCCAACACCAACTTCCACCAGCATTACTATAAAAACTTTCATCATATGCTTGTTGAATAACATAACCTAAAGCAGATATAACAATATTAAATGGCCATATTATTATCATGGCCAAAAATACCAAATGAGAATATTCATAAGAATGGACGACTAACATATAAGTATGTAAACATATTACAAGAGCCCAAAACCCAGAAGCAACATCTCCTAAATTGATAAGAAAACCTTGTATATCACAATAAGTTCCTTCATTTATAGCATTTATACGTAACCAATTATAACTCATCATAAATCCTATAGATTGTATAAAATCTGATAAAATTAAATTTAATACTAGTCTAGTAACTACTGTATGTCTAGAATGTTTTTGCGTTATTATCCACCATATCATTACAAAAACTGCTACATTACTAATCGTACTCGTTGATAATATTGCTATGACTCCATTTATATGAATCTGGACTTTATTTAGTTTTGGGTTATCTATTAGTTGTTCCATAATATGTTTATTTTGTTTAAAAGGTCGCTTACTTTTACTTTTTTTTTTTTCTTTTTTTTTTTTTTNATTTTTTTTTTTTTTCTTTTATTTTTTTTTTGAAAACGCAATTGTTTAAAATACAAATTTTTTCCATCAGTATTTATATATAAAACCACTATTAATTATTTACACTAGATTTTAATATAAAAACGGGTTTTAGTTAATAAGGTTTTTTGTGTAAAGTGACAATTTGGATAAAACTAGAAATGTAGTAGTAAAGATTTCTAAAAAAAAAAATAACCTAACTAATATATACATCACATCATTTCCAATTTAATTATAATATTTCCAATTTAATTAGATTATTTCCCTTATCACATAATTCAAATCTCTTTATGTCATAAATCATGAATCATATAAATCATAAATCATAAAATCATAATTATTTATTCAAATATATCCAACATTTATTGAATAAGGAAGTGATTATTACATATTACATATGAAGATCCAAATATTTAGAATGAAACAAAGAGATAACGCAGATTTGATAAAGAATTCGTTTTCTTATTATTTTAATTATTTCAATTATTTCCCTCTCTCTCTATCTCTCTCTCTTTTTTTTTTCGGAAATGAATCGGTATTAGGACTGCAAAATGTCCGAAAATGATTTACCAATCCCCTATATTTAGGTACGATCGTTAATCTCTCTATAAACAAATTGGGCGTAATTTTCTTTAGAAATTCTATCGAAAGAATATTTTTGTAGATCATTGTAGATCATAACTATATTTTATCATGTATATCATGTGATTCTACATAAATTCTTACTTTAAATGATATCATGAGAAAATTCCGTCAAAGAAAAATCGTTTGAGGTGTCAAAATATTTGTTTTTATGAGTTAGTTTTATAAGTAAGTTCATACAACACGAAAACGATAATCATTTTTGATCATTGTAAAATTCGAGGAAAAAGAAAAGATTTTTTAAAAATTTTCTAAAATTATCTGAAGATCCTCTAAAATGTTTTTTACTAAAAATAAAAATTAACGAAGATATTTATAATTTATTTTAATTTAGTTTAGTATATTTCCCTAATTATTGATAATTAACTGTTAATTAAATTATCTTTCTAAATACGTTCATAAATCAAAAACTATTCTTTTTGGGCATGTAAAATTCCTGAAATTTATTTTACGCCACAAAAAAAAACGAAACAATACCACGTATAATGATTTAATGTTGGATTACTCTTTATAGAAATAAGTTTATGAAATAATAAATTCTTAATTTGATATAATGAATCTTTTATTTTGGATAATTTTTTAAAAAATGATTACTTTCGGAAAATAATAGATAAAGTGTTGTAAATGGATGGATTTGGATGTGATCCTCATGTTTTCCGTTTATTTCCTATTGGTGTTTTTTAAAAAAAAAATACTTTTGAGACTCTCCATCAACAATGAAATTATTATAATTTACTAAAATAGAAAAATATAATAATAAATTTCAATAATTTCGGGCTATTTAGCATAAGTAGCATAAGTAGCATAAGTAGCATATGTAGCATATGTAGCATATTATAATATATATTATATTGTACGTATGTAATTATATTTTTTTACGATATATCGTTTACAATGCACATAATTAATAACAATAATGCAATGCATTAATTTTATTGTGTAAAATAAAAAATAAACCCCCATCAAATTTTAACCGCAAACTTAACCGCAAACTTACCTGCAAACTTGACTGCAAAACTTTGACTGCAAAACTCAAACTTAATTTTTTATGTCAAAAATCGTCAAAATAAGCTTATAGCGTCATTTGAAAAAACTCGTGTCACATATTTTAATGTATTACTAAATTTTTTTTATGTTTCTTTATTATGATTCGTTTTGTTTTATATTTTTACATTTATAATTTCTTTCTTTTTTTTAAAAAAAAAAATATTATAATATTATATAATATTATGAAACTTTTTTGTTCAAAAAACTCTTTTTTAATTCGCAATATCATTTTTGCATGATGCATTGCAATGATCAAAGATTTCATTAATTTAATGCATTAAATGATGTAACCATTTTAGTAAAAACGTGAAAAAAAAAAATGTGGCTTTGTTCGGATTTTAATTTATCGAGTGCTTCATATCATGCAGAAAAAAAAGAATAATTGCATAAAAATTTCTCCTTATCTTTGATTATTTTCGGTGGTGATTTTTGTTTATCAATTTATATTTATCTTCAAGCAAATATAAATATTTTATTAATATAGATATTTTTATATCGGATAAATTTCTTTATGGAAAAAAGGTTTATTTATTGTTACCTTATATCCTTATATGTAATTATATGTAATTATATGTAATTAAAAAGTTCACTTTCTTTAAAAACACTTTGTTATTAAATCAATTAAAAAAATGTGGCTTTAATGAAATTAATTTCATATCTAAAATTATTTGGCGTTAACAATGGGCTGATATCTATTAACTGTTAAGGTTAACAAAAAAAAAAAATATTTATAAAACATAAGCGCAAAGTTAACATTAATATCTGCTCTCTGCTATTTTCTATAAACAAACAAATTTACCCAGTAGAAACTATCTTTAAAGTGCTTTTATTAAAAGAATGTTCTAAAATCGTGCAGAAAAATCCTTTAGTTAGATGTCGCAATTTTATTTGTACATTTTCTGTATTCTCTTTATCATGTGGGATCTACTTTAAAATATCCTTCGGCCTTCGGTCTTCGGTCTTCGGTCTTCGGTCTTTGGTCCTCATATGTATGGCAAATAGGATTGAAATCTGCAATTTTTTACATTACCCGTCACATTTTCAATTTCATATGGTTTAACAAAACTTATCATATGGTTTAACGGAAATTAATACTTCTTTTTAATGGTAAATTAGTACAGCCTGTACTGGTTGTTTTAATCTGTCGATGAGATTTTGGTGATAATATTCAAAATGAATTTCTAAATTATTAATTGATAGTTTAAACTGTATTTCTGATTCTTTTTGCATTTTTCTTCTTTCAATGATCCACGGGAAATCGTCGTTAATCCTTAGAAAATAATTTAGGAGTATGATCAAAGAGTATGTGCATACTGCAATCATTCCTTGGTAATCAAAAATAGGTTAAAAGTACATGGTGTTTCACAGAGTTATCTAAGTACGAGTCCTTGAAATTTTATTGTCAGTATTGTGAAATAATTTTGATTTGAAGGATTGGAAGGATTGGAAGGATCTTTTTAACTTTAAATTTATTACCCTGTATCACAAATCCCTTAATTTGTTACCTGAATTTTTTGAAAAGCTCTTAATTTCTTAATGTTGGTAGTGTTAAAATGCGTGCTAAAAAAATCACGTGCTGGCGACCATTATCTGACATTTTATTTAAAGTTGCTTTGATGCAGGTTTGTGTATGGTTCATAAATAATGGTGTGTAAGTTTATTTTACATATACATTATATTTTATTTACTGTATATTTATTATTATTTGTATAAAAAATTTAATTAGACTAAATTTACATGTGCATTAAATGACTATTAAATGCCAATTCTCTTAAAATCAACATAAAATATTACAGTCTGACTTCCAAATTGATTAAGTATATATATAATTTATAGCCTTTTTATATAAATCACTAATTTTTAATTAACCATAACTATGAAACTAAAAAAAAATCACCAAATTTAGGTCAAAATTATTCAAAATTAATTAATTTATTAGATTAAAATCATTAATTTAGGCTAAAATTATTAATTTAACAGGTTAATTTAAGAAATTTTTAACCAAAATTACAATTTTTAAAAATATAATTTTTTAATGCAATTTTTAATTTTAGTCAAATTTAACTTTTTTAATATTAGTTAATATGTTTAAATTATTTAGCTCATAAATTTAAATAAATTTATTAACTGTTAAAATTTGTTAATTATTATACAATATATTTATTACTTAAAAGTATAATCAACTTAATAATTATATGGAAATTTATTATAAACTGTATTTTTTTTAGATATATTTTATTTATTTTTTTAATATTTAAGAAAATAATACATATTACAATTATTAAAGGTAATCAAAATCTTATATTACATTTGTGATTTATAAATATTAATAATTTAATTGGTTATTAAATCTAATAAGAATAATGGACTCTTTCCACTTATTTTACATCAATAATAAAAATTTTTTTATTTTTTTATTTTTTAAGTTTTTTTCTATATACTTTTAATATTCTTTTATTAGTTTAGTTTATATTTTTTTTTACTTTAATATTTATTTCTTTTTTCACTAAAATAGCCATAAAATATCTTTTTATTTACAGATGGCAGATATGAATAACATTATATTCTGTTAAAATAGCCATTTAAGCTTACCCAACATAAAAAGATATAGAGTCTTAAAATACTTTTAAAACCATTCACAAAGCCAATTTTAATCATAAAATCTAACCATATTTCCTACTTTTCAATTCACTTAGAAAACCAATTCTGCTATATAGAAAATTAGGCACACTTTTCTGCTATTATTCTTAGCTTCCTACAGCTATTAGGATAGCAAAAATGATGTGTAGAATTTATAACCACATAGTATCATTTTGAGGACATATAGCATGTAATAAAAAAAAGCATGTTAGATCTACTCCAAAAGGTAATCTAATAAAATTTTAAACCCTAATTTAATATTTAATTTTAAATTATAATTCTTACTATTCAATCTATCCAGAAAGCTAATTCCACTAGTTTACAGTCCTATCAGCAAATAAATTGCATTTTTTAAGTATTTTGTAAGGCTACCAACTAAATACAAGACAATCTATACTTCTGACATATGAGTAAACATAGCTCTACAAATCCAGACAGCCAATCCAACTAGTTTACAATTCTGTTAGCAAATAGATTGCATTTTGAGTATTTTTTCTATAAGTTGCTAATTAAACAAAATGCAATTCATACTTCTAATATACGAGTAAACACAACTCTATAAATATGCTTATAGCTAACAAAACCTAAATTATAGAATAGTTAAAAATAGTATACAAAACTAAGTACATATATGATTAATAAAACAAGACCTAA